TGCCAACTGGGCAGATCAACGCAAATACATCACAGGCTTTAAACCCAATCTCCAGAATCAACTCCTTCCACCCTCCTCCTCCCACCTCAACTGCACAACATTCCTACTCCTGAACCCACCAAACCTCCCCAAATTGTGACCATTAGGATTTCCATCAATCCCTCTTTGGTGCGACTTCCCAAAGCAGAGGCATAGCTCCCCACATTCCTCCCAACAGCAGAAACATTTGTGCATTGGGAAGCATCTGGTGCAATTCTAGCAGATACCGATTGTACAGATTCGAGATTGGATGGTGAATCCTCTCTCTGCTGAGCAGGGGGAGAAATATCATTTTTACTCCTGTCAGCAAAATTAACCCCTTCACCACCACCACCCCCACCAAACACATCCATTGCTTTAGCAGTCTCACCAGTCACTTTATTTGCTGTCATAGTCTTCACAGCAATGTCCGTACTCACTGCTGCAACAATAGAAACTTTAGCTCCAGCTGTCATCTCTTCCTCCAGGTCATAACTTTCAGCCCAGGAACATACAGGCTATTCAAACACAGCAACAGGTAAAACACTGACACAGGAGACATACATGTTTGCTCTCCACATGGTTTACTGTGCTGCTCCCCTCCCCAGCCAGCATCACTCAGCTCTGGAACACATGGGAGCTCAGGTGCAGCAGACTCCTTACAGCCAGTGGCCATCTTTCTTTCAGCATTCCCAGAGGCACTACTGATCTCAGCAAAGGCAGGAGTAGTAAAATCCATGTCCGAGGTGTTTGGTGCAGATCCATGCATGTTCCTCTGATGGTTTGGAGACATCTCTGTCAGGGGTTTTCCCTCCATGTCTGCAGAGGGTTTCTCTATGGCAGAAAGACCAACAGCCAGCTCCTTTCAGAGCTCCTTCTCTTTTTGCTCCTCAGCCGAGACACTATCCACCACAGCCGGAGGGGCAGACATGCTGGAAGCAGCCATCTTGGTGTACTGGGACTTCTGGCTTTGCCAGTCTGTACCTCCTCTCTCCATCTTCAGGGACTTCTGAAGGGTCATTAGAAAAAGCGAACCTGTCTGCCCTCAGGGGTGACTCCATCTGCTGGATGAAGGTCACGGTTCCGTGCTCACTCTCAACCACCTGGCTGGTTACCGCTGACAACTCTGCAGCCTGACATGGGGGGAAAGACGCTGAGGTAGATGGAGCCGGGTCATCCATTACCTGAAGCTGCTGATCCCCAGAACTCGCTGATGTCTGGCTGGCAAATCTCCTCTCCTTGTCAAATTTTTCTGCAAAGGCTCCACTTCTTGCTATCAGCTTTTCCAACAATAAAGATTGGTTCTTTACTTTTTTCTCCATCTGCTGTGGCTCTGGCTTCATTGCCAATCTGTTCTTACTCCAGGCAGTATTTGGCTCTGAAGGATTTGTGTTCAGCTTTTAAAACATAGTTTTTCCTCAGCTCTCCAAATCGCCAGGAATCGATCAATAATCCTGTCTGAAGACATCCACATCCTCACCAGGGTCTGGACCCACAGTCAGGTCCTCCTCATTAGGCCCGGTGTCATCAGGGGGATCCCTCCCAGGGCCTCCTCCTGGATCAGGCCTAGTTCCTGGGCCAAGCTAGCAGGCAAGGCCCAGGCTTGAAAAACGCTGGTTCTCAGGTAGAGCTCCTTTAGTATGTCCTCCTCCTTCTCCCACTAACCATCAATGTAAGGAACATCTTCCTATGGCTTTCTTCCCAATAACCTCCAGTGTGATGGGCATTTTTCCCAATAACCTCTACTGTGATGGGCATTTTTCCCAATAACCTCCAGTGTGATGGGCATTTTTCCCAGTAACCTCCAGTAACCTCCAGTGTAGTGGGCATTCTTCCCAGTAAACTCCAGTGTACTGGGCATTCTTCCCAGTAACCTCCAGTGTAAGTGGGCATTCTTCCCAATATCCTCCAGTGTAAAGGGGCTTTGTTTCCAATTTTTTTTTTATTAAAAGTCTTTCAATCAATAAACATAAAATCATTTACAGAATATACAAAAATAGATAATTATATACATATATACACAAAAACAAAAATAAATATAGCAAAATCTGCTATCAGACAAAAGCAAACTCTCAGAAATGAACATGTCATTACTGGGGGAAATAAATCTTACTAAGACTCCCATCACTACACCAGACATCAAACCTGAGAGGTCAAGAAACAACCCCCCGCCCCTTATATGCATGCAGCCCTTCTTCAAAAAGCAGATCTTAACCAACAAAAACTAATGGAGTGAAAAGAACATCATAAGAAAAGAGCCCCTCACCCAGAGATGACAGTTCACCAAAGGCAGGTCTGATATTCCTCCACACCCTTATCCAGACCGCCCAAGGCTCCCTGCCCTTCTCAAGACCCCGAATCTTCCCAACCTCAAGCAGAATATCGTGCACCACCACCTCAACAGGGAGGATTTTCTTCTGCAGGGTAATCTGACACTGTGCATTCCACATGAAGTAACGAACAACTATACTAACAAAAAAAGTGTATCCAAATCAAAGTCCCAATGATCTGGGAATGCCCCGTACTCCCACTCTGCATAACTCATGCGATAGAGAAAGGGGATGCCCAGAACCCTCCCCACCCTTTTATACACCTCTATGTTACATGGACACTAGAACAGAAAGTGGTCCATAGACTCCACTTTACCAACACACTCCGTTCTAGGACAATCCCGATCTTCCACAGGGCAATGCGTCAGATTCCCTCTCAAATAGAGCCTTCCATGGAAAGCAAGCCAGGCTTGATACCTAAACGTCAAGGGATTCTCTCCAAATTAATGAAACCGAACCCTTCCCTCATTACGGAGCCTGGGCAATCCTTTCAGGCCAGTGACACACTTGAGAGCAGAAGCCAAAATCCTCTCCCCCAGAAGCTTAGGAGCTTTCTTTCCAATACCTTCCAGTGTAAAGGGGATTTCTTCCCAATACCATCCAGTGTAAAGGGGCTTTCTTCCAATAACCTCCAGTGTAAAGGGGCTTTCTTCCCAATAACCTCCAGTGTAACGGGCTTTCTTCCCAATAACCTCCAGTGTGATGGGCATTTTCCCAATAACCTCCAGTGTAGTGGACATTCTTCCCAGTAACCTCCAGTGTAGTGGGTATTCTTCCCAGTAACCTCCAGTGTAGTGGGCATTCTTCCCAGTAACCTCCAGTGTAGTGGGCATTCTTCCCAGTAACCTCCAGTGTAGTGGGCATTCTTCCTAGTAATCACCAGTGTAAGTGGGCATTTTTCCCAGTAACCGCCAGTGCATGAGGGCATTCTTCCCCATAACCTCCATTGTAAAGGGGCATTCTTCCCAATACCCTCCAGTGTAAAGGGGCTTTCTTCCCAATACCCTCCAGTGTAAAGGAGCTTTCTTCCCAATACCCTCCAGTGCAAACGGGGTTTCTTCCCAATACCCTCCAGTGTAAAGGGGCATTCTTCCCAATACCCTCCAGTGTAAAGGAGCTTTCTTCTCAATACCCTCCAGTGTAAAGGGGCTTTTTTCCCAATACCCTCCAGTGTAAAGGACTTTCTTCCTAATAACCTGTGTAAAGCTGACGGGAGAGACCTGTGTGTAGGCAACACAGGTCTCTTTCCAATCAGCATGGACATTCTGTTTTGTATCTCTGCACAGCAGAGAGATACAAAACAGCATGCCTCCCTTGTAAAACAGCACACAGTTAACCCCTTCCTGCCCAATGTCATTACTACAGTGTCGGTGCTTTTTATTAGCACTGATCACTGTATTAGTGTCACTGGGGATGTCAGTGACAGTCAGTTGCCACCCAGTGTCAGAATGCCCGCCGCAGTCCCGCTATAAGTCGCTGATCGCTCGCCATTACTAGTATAAAAAAAAAAAAAATTCCACCATATATACCGCCATTTGTAGACACTATAACTTTCATGTGAACCTATTAATTTACACATATTGGGATTTTTTTTAAGCAAATATGTGTAGCAGAATACATTTTGGCCTAAATTTATGAAGAAATTTCATTCTTAAATATATTTTATTGGCAATGTTTTATATCAAAAGGTCAAAAATACTGTTTTTTTTCCCCAAAATTGTCGGTCTTTTTTTGTTTATAGCGCAAAAAATAAAAACCACAGAGGTGATCAAATACCAGCGACCGTACGCTCTATTTGTGGGGAAAAAAAATGGACATAAATTTCATTTATGTACAGTGTTGCATGACCGTGCTATTGTCAGTTAAAGTAACACAGCGCCGTATCACAAAAAATGGTCTGGTCAGGAAGGGGGGTAAATCCTCTGGAGGGCAATTGGTTAAAATAAACCTGTCATGACAGAAACATGGAGGATGCCATTGCTGTCATCTTACAAATATGCTGTTTTAGTCATGTTGAATCTTCTAACAAAATACTTCACTGACCTGAAACAAGTATTCTGAGGAGAACTATTGACTTCCCTCTGACTTTCCTGATAAGTGTACTTGTTCCAGGTCAGTGACTTATAAAGTGTAAAATCCAAGAGTGTACATATACCAACCATGTAACTAGTAGGTTAGCAGTGGCAGCTCCCACGTGTCTCTCCATGACATCAGTTGGCTCTGCTGATCTGTGTTTGGGTGACAGGAACTGGAGGAAGTACAGGGCTCTTTTCACTTAAGTGCTAGATATGAAGTGACAGTTGCCTGTTTAGGTACACAGATCATGTCTGAATGGTCACCAAGCCAGCTAGGATTTCTATGTTGTGTTCAACATATCCCATAAAATTGGTTCGACTAATGCAAGCAATGTATTTATGCAACCACTGTAGTCACGTCCTTGTCAGTGCTGTTCACCTGTGACTTAGTGGAGCTTGCTATGGGATGCCGTGTGCTTAGCTCACTTCAACAGTGACAATAAATTGAATAATATAGTGTACCTGCGTTTTACTTTGTCAGATGTTATTACATTGGTAGTTCCTGTATTATTACATTGGTAATTTCTTTTATATCTATGTAATAGTCTAACCATGAAATTGTTTATCTTTGATCCAGACAATGAAACCGCTGTTTATACTTTGATGCCTATGGTGATGGCCGATCAACATCGGTATGTGGTTGGAATTATTTTAATGAGTCATATGACCAGAAATGTCAATAAAATAGAAAAGTAAAGTGCTTTTCCCTTCTTTCTCAAACTGTTTCTGTTATTATTTAAAAAAAAATGTGGTCTGAGTCCGACCTGTGAGTCAGCTTTTCTTGTCGATTTTTCTACATAACAGAGCAGCTGAGAATGTTTTGTGCTGTCCTTCTTTTCTCTTATTGTTGTTTGATCTTTTTGTTTTGTTTACGCGCTCTTGCTTATGGCTACTAGGCACATAGAGATTCTTTCTCACCTCTGTTGAACTTAGCATCAGCCGTGACACATGATCACACTATTACTCAAACCTGTACATGTATTGTTGATTTTCTGTTTCTGTATATGAAAACCTTTGCTTGAAAAATAAAGACTACTTTAAAAAAAAAAAATGTGTGTGTGTATATATATATATATATATATATATATATATATATATATACACATACATATACATACATACACTATCTTGCCAAAAGTATTGGGTCGCCTGCCTTTACATGCACATGAACTTTTACTGGCATCCCAGTCTTAGTCCATAGGGCTCAGCATTCAGTTAACCACCCTTTGCAGCTATAACAGCTTCAACTCTTCTGGGAAGGCTGTCCACAAGGTTTCGGAGTGTTTCTATGGGAATGTTTGACCATTCTTCCAGAAGCACATTTATGAGGTCAGGCACTGACGTTGGACAAGAAGACCTGGCTTGCAGTCTTTGCTCTAATTCATCCCAAAGGTGTTCTATCAGGTTGAGGTCAGGACTTTGTGCAGGCCAATCAAGTTCTTCCACCCCAAACTAGCTCATCCATGTGTTTATGGACCTTGCTTTGTGCACTGGTGCGTAGTCATGTTGGAACAAGAAGGGACCATCCCCAAAGTCTTCCCACAAAGTTGGGAGCATGAAATTGTCCAAAATGTCTTGTTATGCTGACGCCTTAAGAGTTCCCTTCACTGGAACTAAGGGGCCAAGCCCAACCCTTGAAAAACAACCCCACACCATAATCGCCCTCCATTACATGTTACACTTGGCACAATGCAGTCAGGCAAGCACCGTTCGCTTGGCAACCGCCAAACCCAGACACATCCATCTGATTGCCAGACAGAGAAGCGTGAGTCATCACTCCAGAGAACATGTCTTCATTGCTCTAGAGTCCAGTGGCGGTGTGCTTTACATTGCACTTGGTGATGTAAGGCTTGGATGCAGCTGCTAGGCCATGGAAACCCATTCCATGAAGCTCTTTTTTGCTCTGTTGTGGTAATTTAGCTATTGCTTCTGCAGACAGTTGATGACTTCTGCACTCTGTACACTTCTGCATGTGCTGCCCCCGGTTTGTCATTTTACATGGCTTACCCCTTGGTGGCTGAGTTGCTGTTGTTCCCAGTTGCTTCCACTTTGTTATAATACCACTAACAGTTGACCATGGAATATGTAGTAGCAAGGAAATTTCACAGATGGACTTATTGCACAGGTGGCAACCTATCACAGTACCACGTTTGAATTCACTGAGCTCCTGAGAGCGACCCATTCTTTCACAAATGTTTGCAGAAGCAGTCTGCATGCCTAGGTGCTTGATTTTATACACCTGTGGCCATGGAGGTGTTTGGAACACCTGAATCCAATGATTTGGTAGGATGTCCCTATACTTTTGGCAGTATAGTTTGTGTGTGTGTATGTGTGTGTGTGTGTATATATATATATATATATATATATATATATTGTGACAGTGTGGCGATCTGTCACCCTGGATTCTCAACAAGGCAGGTTGAGGGCTCCAGGGTAAAGGTTTGATATGGAGGAAAGTGGCTTTTCACTTTCCTCCTTTGTTTGTAAGGTCCATTTTGGGATCTGGAGCCTGGAGATTTCGAAGTGATTTGGGAGGGATGAAATCTCCAATCCTGGGACCAGGTGTTGGAATAGGCCAGGAGACTGATTGCACAGGTGTGTGCAGGCCTTTAGATAGAGTCAGGACCAGGGTTCTGGGCTTCACCCCGGCAGATAGGAGTCAGGAGGGCTCCACTTGGAAGACAGGAGGTCACTGCCTGGAAGTCAGGTGGGCTTCACCTAGGAGAGGTGGAAGCCAAAAGCAGCAAGGGGCTGCTAGAGACTAGCTGTGTGCTAGTGGCCAGCTGTGAGCAAGAGCCATAATTCTTTAAGAAGTCTGCAGGAGGCAGACATCAAGCTGAGTGTAAGCCAGGAGGCTGAATCATTGTTTTGTTTGACGGTGGATACCCCTGCGTGGGAAGCTTTATGTTCTGGGACATTTTCTGTAAATAAAATTGGGCAAAAAGGCCCTTAAAGAAAGCGAGTTGCTGTGTGCGTTAACAAAGCTCTACCACTTTGAAGCGAGTTCCCACAATATATATATACACATGCACATACTAAACAGACATTTTTTTTTTTTTATAAAATAAGTGCAATATATAAATATGTTTATATACTGTATTAGTAGAATGTACCTACTATTTCTTTCTTCCTTCAGTTCATCTCTCAAATGCAAGCTTTTTTTCTGCTATTCTCAAACACCCTGGGTGGTTATGTTCATTCTCCATTCCCCTCCATGTGAATGTAGCCACCCTTTCCTGCTCACCCCTGAGATGGACTACACATCTGTGTGAAGATGCATTCAGTGCTATTGGAATTGTAGTATGCGGAGAGTAGAGCATGTGATCAGAAATTAGGGGCACTGCTCAATCTACACTAGTAGCCCTAGTTTAAAAAAAACAAAAAATAAAAAGAATAAAAACAACAAAAAAAAAGAGCTGTGGTATACTTGATATTTTAAAATGATTGATGTAAAAAAAGTGGGTTTAGAGTCATTTTATTAAGACCATTGATGTGGTTTTGCTTTCTTATTAACTGTTTTGTTGTCAGATTTCAAAGCTCTGGAGACAGCAATTTTTGACGCCTTGGGTGTAAACATAATTGTAACAAATCACAAGCTATAGCAGCAACTTAGAAGAAGTGGGTTAATTTAGTATTTTATGTTATTATTTATATTAATTTTTATATTTAAGTTAGTATTTAATATTTTGAGTTTGGGCAGAACAAGGGGCACCGAAAGCCAGTTAGGGCTTTGCGACAGATTTCCTTTCATAGTTTAGTACTAAAAGTACCTCTGAAGGTTCCTTTATCACAGTCTATACAAGTATCAAATCCATTTACTATGGGTTGCACAAACCTCATAAAGTAAACAGAATACTTTCTCTACCTTCCCTGATTGTTAACAGTTCTCTCAATGCATAATGTAGTGTGCAAGACTAGGTGTGTCCTGGTGACACAGCCTTGTGAATCAGCAGTGACAAGCCTGATATCCTCACCCCTGCAACATTTTTTCATCCCCTGTACTTCAAGCATACATGAGAGAGTGCATGAAAGTGGCATATCTGCTCTAAATTCAGTAGCAGTGCAGCATTGTTGCCAGAACAACACAGAAAGCTGCATTAAGTGGACTTCATTGACAGGTTAAAGAGCTATTTGTTGGACTTTGCTGATGGACCAAGAGAAAAAAGTGTAACTACAGATGCAGATTAGTAATTATGTCTTCTATGTACCCTAAAGTCCATCATAAGCTGTGATTTTACCTTCTGTTACATTGCACCTAAAGTGGTAGTAAACTTTCTTTTTTAAACAAATTGCTGACAGGGTATTTATGACAGAAGAGACCCTATCGGTCTCTTCTGTCATAAATGCTTCCTCCTGCCTGTCATCCATCATGGACAGTGAGCCACGCATGCACAACTCAGTGAACATTTACGGCCCGATCTGTGCCACTGTGATGTGACTCCTGTGTGCATGCGTGGGAGTGACATTGCAGCCCGGCCATTCAAGTGGCCAAGGGCACAAAATCTGAAATAAAAACCAGACGAAGGTGGCAGCGCCCTGGACCCATCATATTGTTCATAGCGTAGCGCTGGAAGGCTCAGTTTGACAGGTAAGTCTGTCATAATGTACTAATATGCAGTTCATACTAGCACATTATGGCAAAACCTACCTGGGGACCCCTAAAAAAAAACAAAAAAAAACAAAAGCAGAATTTACTACCACTTTAATTCTGAATAGCAGTCATCATATATGCTTGTTATTCTGTTTATGGATTGTTTCCTAATATACTGATACAACTTATTAGGTGATAAGAGCCTGTGTCGCTTAGGGGCCAGAAGACTCCATGGACCACCTATAGAAGGCCATCATAAACAACAGTGGCCACTAGTACACCTTTCAATATTTGTCCTGAAATGGGTGCAAAAGGGTCCCTGCAACTGCAACTTCATTTCATGTTCATACTGTAGCTACAATAGTAGATTAGATCTGTGTGTGCCTTTTGCTCAGATTGGCTTTCTCTGAACAGCAAATTACAGTCTCTTGTCCCTTTGAAGAGGGAGAAGATAGTAAAGTGGTAGATGCTGGGACTCCATAGTACCCCACTTTGTGACAGATGTTAGTATTGGGAGAGGGGGGAATTGGTGGCAGTCTTTTGAAATGGAAGTCCATAGGGGGATAGATCACCTCTCAATTTTTTACATTAGGTCCACTTTGAGTAGGGCAATTAGAAAGGTAGAATGTTGTAGTAATGTGGTCTGCACATAATTGATTTTTTTTTTACCAGAGTTTATGATGTTGATACTCACTACATTTTAAGGATTATGAAAATCTGATCCTTTATTTTGAACAATTCAAAAATTTTAAGAATACAGTTTGTGTGTCAGTACTGCTAGGGTATAAATTGCTTTTCTGATACTACATATGTTTCTTGCCATTTTTGCCATGCAGTGATGCTTCCACACACTGAGGCTAAAGTAGAGGTTGGGTTATGTCATTGCTTGTGCATGTTTGAGATGTACTTGCTGGAATCAAATGGTTATGAGACCTCCCTGCCTTTACCCCAAAGAGTGTTGGGCAGGCACACATTCCCTTAGACAGGAGATGGTCTTTGTATGATCTGGTGGTTCCAGGTTCAATAATAATAATCAAATACTTTTTTTTATTTTATTTTTGTTAAATGTTAATGACAGCAAATTAGTTGCATATAATCATGTTTATTGTATTATTTTCTCATTTTAAGGTCTGTTTTGGAATTGCTTTCAAATTCAAAATTTGACGTCAACTATGCTTTTGGAAGAGTTAAAAGAAGTTTGCTACATATCGCTGCCAAGTAAGATTTTACTCAGTCAGCAGTGTCACTTAATGAAATGTATTATTGGTGTAGTGCTTGGTCTTAGCAGAAATGTACATTTTGCACACGTTAAAACTTGTGTTTTTTACCAGAAGTTACTGTAACCTCACCCACCCAAAAAAAAGTATATATTTTCTGAAAGCGGAGGCCCTGGAGAATAAAATGGTGGTAGTTGCAATTTTTTATATTGCACAATATTTGTGCAGTTATTTATCAAAACATTTTCAGGAAAGTATACACTAAATTAATTTTGCTGCAAGCAAACACAATAATATACCCAATTTTTGTTAAAATATAAAATTAGGGGTTGTGTTGACTACATAGATACCAAACATGTTGGACACCAGGTCTTTTGTGGATGTGTTAATATGTCCTAATGCAGGCCATAGACGGGTTGAAAACCGGCCATTTAAAAAAAATCGGTCGTTCAATAGGCCGACGTTACTACCTACGGTAAAAAAAAATCATCCGATTTTCGTCCCGTCTACAGCCGGCATTTAATTACTTCTGTCCCTTTCAGAGAGCTCCGCTATTATATTTGACATGAAAAAGTATTGTGGTTGCAACATTGTATCTATTTGTATCCATTTTGGATACTGATGTTATTCGGATACAAATAGATACATTGTTCCAACTGCAATACTTTTTCATGTCAAATATAATAGCGGACTGGAATTCTTCTTCTTCTTCTTCTTCTTTTTCTTCTTGCAGGTCACGGCTCATGCACAGATTTTCTATCGGTAAAACGATCGGCCAATTTGCCCATCATTGCCGGCACAATCGGACGATTTTTTTTCCAACTTTACCGATAAAAAAAAATGTGCCAAATCATCGAAAAACGGCCGACCAATTACCCATTAACGGTGCGAAAATCGGCCGATTTTTTTTTTTTTTTTTCGGCCGAAAAAAAACGGCCAATTTTCGACCCGTCTATGGCCTCCATAAAAGTGCACAATCAAAGTATGTTTGTGTAACCACAGACAAGTATTGCTCAGCCCCTCTAACATTGTATTAAAAACCATATTTAATAGACAACGTTCACCTTTTATAAGAATACATCAGCTTGAAAATAAAACAGGGTATTGTACAACCTGATGCAAATAAACTTGAGTAACTAATACAAAAAACTGCATGACGCACCACAAATTAGTTACCTTATATTTAAAATTCAGTTCTTCATAAACAAGCATGTAGAAGCTGGGTTTAGCCGAATAAAGTGCTGTATGCATCCAGGGATCAAAGTCACTGCTGACAAAAAATGATCAGCCACGAAAAACCATGCACAAAGCATAGCAAATTACTTCCCAGGTAGGCAGGGTTCAGCAAACATAATGGATTATAAAACACAGATGTGCCTACACTGTACTTAGCTGTTTTAAATGCATCCAAGAGTCAATTTTGCTTGTGTTGACAGTCCATCTTGCATAATCCCCCTAGTCAAAGTGCAACATGTTTCAACTCCACTGGGACTTTGTCCAAAGATCCTCCTCTTCTCAGGTCCCTCTTTGTTGTTGTCACCATGTGACCTGTATATTAACCCATTCACCTCCCTTATCCTGCACATCTGAGCATTAAACCCTTCATCTCCAAGATGCCATGATATATAACCAGTACATTAACCCCTTCCCCTCCTCTTTTCTCTGTGCATGAACTGTTTATTACAGTATCTAGTTCACCTTTACCAAGTTTCGTGTTTAATCCCCTTAATACCAGTGCGTTTTTTTTTTTCATTTCCAAACAATGGCAAAAAAATGAGGTCTTGAGATTTCTACTTTCTAAAAAAGCATAATTTGGGTTTTTTTTTGTACTATTCTGCCATATTTAATTTTTATTTTAACAGAAAGTAAGTGGAACAGTTGTTTTCAAAATGTGTAGTCTTTTTTTTTTCCCCCTTTTTTATAGAATAAAATAAAAATCCCAGCAGCCAAAAGAAAGCTCTGTCCCCCCAAAAAATAATATAAAACTCATTTGGGTACAGTGCTGCATAATGGAGGAAATGTTGCTCAAAATATCATAGTGTTGAAAATGGAAAAACAGCTTGGTAATGAAGTGAGAAACAGACTGGCACTCAAGTGGTTAATACTGTACTTAAATTACAGTATTGGAAAAAGAAAACCCAGAATCAGAATACATACATTTAAACGTAAAGTGCTGCTAAACCAACAACAGTAAGGTCAGTCTGTATATGCAGTAAAGCATGTTTGTTATACTCACTGTGGAACCTAAGGGGTTAATCCTCTGCATTGTGTAATAAGGATGTTTGATTCTGACTTCTCTGGTCCTCCCCTTCCAGCGTCCCCCTCTTATCTCTTGATAAGACATATTGTGTGAAGTCACTCTGCATATGCTCAGTTTGTCTATTGCTAGAGAGGGTATTTCTTTCTTGAGAGGGGTCATGTGATCAGCACTGGGCCAATCAGCACTGTCCATACAGAGGTCAGGGGTTCTTCATCCTCCTAGAGCAAGCTGAAATCTCCTCCTACAAGCTTTAACCAGTGCTCAGCTGGATACTGATAGAAGTCAGAAGACTGCTCTAAATGATAATGAGAAAAGGTATTTAGCAGGTTATATTTACTAAAATAATTGCATTTCCATGTGCTGTGTACTGTGGGAGACCAGATATAGTGAATGCAGGGTCCTGTGTTTAGTAACCTTTTCAGCTGGCCGTACATTATACAATTTGCATATTCAATTTCCTTTAGATTTACCTTCGACTATGTAGTGCAAGGGCCTGTCTGACTGTATACAAATTGAAAGTGTTTAGGTTTGACCTCGTATCATATGGTTTTAATAAATCTAAATGAAAATTGTATAATGTATGCCCAGCCGTAGGAGTTTGAGAAAAAAAATAAAAGTCTTTATATATCCTTATGCTGATTTGTTCTCTATTGATTCATGAGAAGTATGAATTTTTAAAAGCCTGCTTTAATTGATGAAGTGCGTAATAAAATCCTTTTGAGGAAGGGCAACAGCTCTGAAAGACTGTATATTACGTTCTTCTGTGAAATATCTTTACAATTCAAAGAGATCCATAGTGATATTTGATCTTATATACATATAAACTCAACCCTATGGCTTCCTGCAGAACTGGTTGTACTAGACACACAGTGGAGAGATTTATTTTTAGTAAGTACTTCTTACTCACATACTGATTGTATCTGCTGTCCAGAATGTGAGTGAGGTGTCATCATTGACTCTGTAAGCTGATTTGAAAAGCTGTATTTATACATCATGCTGAGACTTTTCATCTTGAAATATCCTCAAGGCAGTTGAAACCTGTGCATTAACTCTTCAGCTGCCCGTTCAATAATTCACATACACGTTATAGACTGGGACCCCCCCCCCCCTTTTTTTTTTTTTTGCAAGCAGAGGGCCTATTGAATCAATAGCTTGTTTTATTGATTTGTATTTTTAACTATTCTTGCATAAATTTTGATCAAAGCTAAACTTTCAGTTAAAAAAATATTAATTTTAGTGTACACACATGCACAATATATAATCTGCAAAGTTGCCATTAGATAGAAAAAAGTTAGGACTTTTTCAAAAGTATCACATATTTGTGACCTCGTAGGGCTCGTTCACACTAGGCTGTTTTGCCAACGCTTGCCAAACGCCCCTATAGCGTTTGGCAAGCGTTGGTCCAGCGTTTGCGGAGCGTTATTAACGCTCAGCAAACGCTCCGCAAACGCCGCATGCGCGGTTTAGCGCGCGTTGCTAGGCGTTTGCCGAGCGTTAACAACGCCCCACAAACGCCTATAATGCAGTTTGAGTGGTGTTACCGCTCCGCAAACGCCCCGCAAACGCCGGCCAGGCGTTTGCGGAGCGGCACCATAGACGAGAATAGGAGGCTTCAAAGCCTCCTGACTCGTCCAGAGGCGTCCGTTTTGCCGCGACGCAACGCGACGCAAACGCTCCCGTTAGAACAGCACCATGTGCTGTAATGTGCAGAATTGGCAGAGGCGTTTGGGAAGCTGTAAAAACGCTTACCAAACGCCTCTCTGCCGCCTGCACACAAGGCTAGTGTGAACGTAGCCTAAATGACGTGCTGTGTAAATGTGTGAAAACTCCTATATTGTCAGTGGACAATGCATTAAAGTGGTAGTAAACCACAGCTTGAAAAAAAAATATAAAAAAATCCCATGGAAGGTAATGTCATATCGTGCTAGTATGCATCCTGGTCGACTCGCACTGACATCACTCCCCGCATGCGGAGTCTCAGAACACAGCACAGTGTTCTGAAGGAACGCACGGGTATGCCGTTCCTTCAGAGTGCATGCGCCAGCGGACAAAGAGAGTGAATATCTCCTACATGGTGCACGTTTAGGAGATATTCATTTTACCTACAGGTAAGGTTTATTGTAAGCTTACCTGTAGGTAAAAGATACAAAAGTGGGTTTACTTCCACTTTAAAAACCTAATAGTTCATCAATTTTAGAGTTAAGCTGAAATGATGACCCTAGAATTATTCATGGGAATGCCTAGTGGTCATAATTTATTTGGCATTTATGTATTAAAGTGGCTGTAAACCCCAGACATGAAATATGAACAAAGCATTTCCCTCTATATGTCTATGTCTATTTGTCTTAGTCCACAGTACTAGGTGTCATTGCTGTCTGCTGCCTAGTTCCTCTGCTATCAGCATGAATCAAAAGCGAGGAAGCAACACCTCTATACTGAAGCTTGGGGTGGAATGACACATACCAAACAGTTGCGTGTCCTTCCTGCATTTTTACGGCAATACTATCACTAGTGTGACAAGTGTTGCTAGTAAACTTTTTGACCCATGCTTTACAAGACTGTTTGAACAAACAACTAGACTCATACCTAAAAGTTACCAAGTAATGACAGTTTCAGTATTTGTTTTGACCATCACCCCGCTAGGCAAGAGAAACATGAACAGCACAGATGATTTATACAAATGGGCAATTTTTAATGTGTTTTCTAAAACTTACCCTCCCAACAATTGTCATGCATTTGTAAGAGATGATATCCAGTTCTCACTAGTCTGTCATAGATGAGACACCTAGTCTGTGCCTATCTCATACATCATATCAGTGAAAAAGCTGTAACTGCATTGAACTGCTACATACATTATCCCTTGCATTTTAGCAGAGATGATAATGAATAATGAAACACTAAACTGCAAAATTATTGAAATGAAAAGTCTTGGCGACCTCTCAGTTGAGGCCAGCAACTCATTCTGAGAATCATTGCACTAAATATTTATTCAGCACAACTCCCTGAATTTTGTCCTTTGATTGTATCCTCTTATCTTCAAGCAATAAAACATATTTTGTAATATGTGTAGCTATTTAGTAGCATGAGTCTGTTGTCTATCATTTTGATCTTTTTGTAGTTTTTAATGCTTTCTATGTTTTGATTTTTTGTCTTTTTTTTTTTTTCTGTAGCTGTGGATCAGTGGAATGCTTGGTTTTGCTTTTAAAGAGAGGAGCCAATCCAAATTATCAGGATATTTCGGGATGCACACCTCTTCATTTAGCTGCTCGCAATGGGTATGCTTTTACAGTTTAAGCCCTGGCAAATATTTTATCATAAAATGTGTAAATAAAAAACTCTGCTAGTTCAGAAAACTTAGCTTGTCTAAGCAGCTTGCACAAAATCCGAATACAAAGATTTAACAAAAGTAATTGTAAAACAGTGCAGCATTTGAAGTAAAATTGTAGTAAAACTGAACATATACCGTATATACTCGAGTATAAGCCGACCCGAATATAAGCCGAGGTACCTAATTTTACCACAAAAAACTGGGAAAAACTATTGACTCGAGTATAAGCCGAGGGTGGGAAATGAGGCACCTACTAGTCAATGTAAAAAATAAAGATGGAGACCAATAAAATCACATGAATAAAATCACAAGGAAGAAGAAAACATTTCGCGCCCCCCCGCGCGACTGTAAATAGTATCATTTGTCTGTAAAATTGTTATAAGTAGGAATAGTGCCCCATCATTGGTGTCAGTGGGAGGAATAGTGCCCCATCATTAGTATCAGTGGGAGGAATAGTGCCCCATCATTGGTGTCAGTGGGAGGAGTGAATAGTGCCCCATCATTGGTATCAGTGGGTGGGAATAGTGCCCCATCATTGGTGTCAGTGGGAGGAATAGTGCCCCATCATTGGTGTCAGTGGGAGGAATAGTGCCCCATCATTGGTATCACTGGGAGGAATAGTGCCCCATCGTTGGTGTCAGTGGGAGGAATATGCCCCATCATTAGTATCAGTGGGAGGAATAGTGCCCCATCATTGGTGTCAGTGGGAGGAATAGTGCCCCATCGTTGGTGTCAGTGGGAGGAATAATGCCCCATCATTAGTATCAGTGACACCAATGATGCGGCACTATTCCTCCCACTGACACCAATGACACTTGCTGACCCCTGTTGCAGTATGGTGCTGCTGCAGCCAGCATATGTGGTTGCAGCAGCACCTCTGCACTGCACACTTACTGGCTTTTCCCTCACTCGATTTTCGCGGGTCCGCTCGGCTCCGCCTCCTCGCCCGTGATTGGCCGCCTGTGTACCTTTCCTGAGCTACAGTTCTGGCGGCCAATCACCGGTGAGGAGGCGGAGCCGAGCGGCAGGAGTGAGGGAGTGGCTGGAGTGACGGAAGGAGCAGCGCTTCCTGGATGGATCATCGTGGGAGCCAGGTAAGAGACAGCAGCCCTCTGCCCACCCCTGTACGCGCCCCCCTTGACGGAGGGGGGGCGCGCCCCACTATTTATACTTGTTGACTCGAGTATAAGCCGAGGGGGGCGTTTTTCAGCACAAAAAATGTGCTGAAAAACTCGGCTTATGCTCGAGTATATACGGTACCTATTAAATGGACGCATCATACATGTGAAACTAAGTGGACGCATCATACATGTGAAAATTGTATATTCCGAGATGGCGGCTCCACTCCACGTCTGTATAAGCTCATAATATGTCATTGTCATTCGAAAGATATTGATCATGGATCTACACTGTTTAAGATTTTCACTGGGAGATGGGACTTTTCTTTATGGACTTTTTTGTTTTTTTTGATACATTTTATTTATTTGTTGATTCACATAAAATTTTCCCTTTGGTTAATTATTGTATTATTAATTGAGTTTACTTACATTATTTGTGGATCTATTCACTCAATTTTTGACCTAGTATGTGTATTTAGTTTGATAAGGTAATAGCTGCATTTGCACTACAGTCTTATTTGAAGCGCTGCACTGTTTTACAAATATTTTATCATGCTTATGATATAACCTGACATCCACAATTGCTGTATATGCTGGAACCACCCAGATTGTACATTTTGTTTTCCAGTGTGTTCACACTTCTGCTTTTTGTACAAAGTGTTTTATTTTTATTAATACAGATATACTTTGAGGAACAGGAGTATCTGAACACCCTGCGATTTTGCAAGTTCTCCCACTTAGAAATCATGGAGGGGTCTGAAATTCACATTGTAGGTGCATTCCCATTCTGAGAGACAGAATTTAAAAAAAAAATCAGGAAATCACATTGTATGATTTTTAAAGAATTTATTTGTCTTGCACTGCTGAACATAAGTATTTGAACACCTGTTCTATTGGATTTAGGTCTGGAGACTGGCTAGGCCACTCCAGAACATTGATATGCTTCTTACAGAGCTACTCCTTGGTTATCCTGGCTGTGTGCTTCGGGTCATTGTCATGTTGGAAGACCCAGCCATGACCCATCTTCAATGCTCTGACTGAGGGAAGTAGGTTGTTGCTCAAAATCTCACAGTAATGGCCCCATTTATCCTCTCCTTAATACAGTGCAGTCACCCTGTCCCCTTCACAGAAAAGCACCCCCAAACCATGATGTTACCACACCCCCATGCTTCACAGTAGGGATGGTGTTCTTGGGATGCAACTCATCCTTCTTTTTCCTCCAAACACGATGAGCGAAGTTTAGACTAAAAAGTTCTACTTTGGTCTCATCTGACCACATGACTTTCTCCCATGCCTCCTCTGGATCATCCAGATGGTCATTGGCAAACTTCAGACGGGCCTGGACATGTGATGACTTTAGCAGGGGAACCTTCCGTGCAATGCATGATTTGAAACCATGACGGCGTAGTGTTCTACCGACAGTGACTTTTGAAACTGTGGTCCCAGCTCTCTTCATGTCATTGACCAGCTCCGCCCTTGTAGTTCTGGGCTGATTCCTCACCTTTCTTATCATTAGTGATACCGCACAAGGGGAGATCTTGCATGGAGCCCCAGTCCGAGGGAGACTGACAGTTGTCTTTAGCCTCTTCCATTTTCTAACAATTGCTCCAATAGTTGATCTATTTTCACCCAGCTGCTTGGCAGTTGCCCCGTAGCCCTTCCCAGCCTTGTGGAGGTCCACAATTTTGTCTCTGGTGTCTTTTGACAGCTCTTTGGTCTTGCCGATGGTAGTAGTTGGCGTCTGACTGACTGTAGGGTGGACAGGTGTCTTTAAAGAGCTCAGACAGGTGCTACTAAGTTAGATTAATGAGTGGCGTAAAGGTGGACTTTTTAAAGGCACAGTAACAGGTCTTTGAGAGCCAAAATTCTTGCTGTTTGTTAGTTGTTCAAATACTTATATTCAGCAATGCATGACAAATAAATTCTTTAAAAATCATACAATGTGATTTCCTGAATTTCTTTTTTAAATTCTGTCTCTCAGAGTGGGAATGCACCTACAATGTGAATTTCAGACCCCTCCATGATTTCTAAGTGGGAGAACTTGCAAAATCGCAGGGTGTTCAAATACTTCTGTTCCTCACTGTACAGTGGATATAAAAAGTATACACGCCCCTGTTAAAATGTTACGTTTCTGTGATGTAAAAAAGTGAGACAGATAAATAATTTCAGAACTTTTTCCACCTTTAATGTAACCTATAAACTGTACAACTCAGTTTAACAACAAACAAATATTTTAGGTGCAGGGAAGGAAAAAATAAAAAGCTAAAATAATATGGTTGCATAAGTGTGTGCACCCTTAAACTAATACTTTGTTGAAGCACCTTTTGATTTTATTACAGCCCACTCTTCCTTGCAAAAACTCTCCAAATCTATCATTGCGAGGGCATCTCTTGTGCACAGCCCTCTTAAGATCACCCCACAGATTCTCCATTGGATTCAGGTCTGGGCCCTGGCTGGTCCATTCCAAAACTTTAATCTTCTTCTGGTGAAGCCATTCCTTTGTTGATTTGGAGGTCATTGTCATGCTGAAATAAGTTCCTCTTCATGTTCAGCTTTCTAGCAGAAGCCTGAATGTTTTGTGCCAATGTTGACTGGTATTTGGAACTGTTCATAATTCCCTCTACCTTGACTATGGCCCCAGTTCCAGCTGGAGGAAAAACAGCCCCAAAGCATGATGCTGCCACCACCATGCTTCACTGTGGGTATGGTGTTCTTCTGGTGATGTGCAGTGTTGTTTTTACGCCAAACATATCTTTTGGAATTATGACCAGAAAGTTCAACCTTGGTTTCATCAGACCATAACACATTTTCCCACATGCTTTTGGGAGACTTCAGATGTGTTTTTGAAAAATTAAGCCAGACTTGGACATTTTCTTCATAAGAAAAGGCTTCCGATTTGCCACTCTACCTCATAGCCCAGACATATGAAGAATACGGGAGATTGTTGTCAAAGTTACCACACAGTCAGTACTTGCCAGCTATTCCTGCAGCTCCTTTAATGTTGCTGTAGGCCTCTTGGCAGCCTCCCAGACCAATTGTCTTCTGGTCTTTTCATCAGTTTTGGAGGGATGTCCAGTTCTTGGTAATGTCACTGTTGCGCCATATTTTCTCCACTTGATGATGACTGTCTTCACTGTATTCCATGGTATATCTAATACCTTGGAAATTCTTTTGTACTCCTGACTGATACCTTTTAACAATGAGATCCCTCTGATGCTTTGGAAGCTCTCTGCAGACCATGACTTTTGCTGTAGGATGCGACTAAGAAAATGTCAGGAAAGACCTACTAGAACAGCTGAACCTTATTTGGGGTTAATCAGAGGTACTTTAAATAATGGCAGGTGTGTACTGACTCCTATTTAACATGATTTTGAATGTGATTGCTTAATTCTGAACACAGCTACTGTACATCCCCAGTTATAAGAGGGTGTGCAATATATTTTAGTTTTTTTATGTTTACTCCCCCCTCCACAGCCACAAAAGATTTCAGTTTGTTTTTCAATTGAGTTGTACAGTTTATAGGTCACACTGAAGGTGGTTAACCCCAAATGAAATGATTTATCTTTGTCTCATTTTTTTTTTTTTTTTTACATCATAGAAACCTGACATTTTAACCTGACAAACCTGACAAGAGTGTGTAGACTTTTTATATCCACTGTACATTGGCAGGGATGTACAATTCATATCGCCTGACGCCCGGGACATGCAGTTCCAGGTGCCAGGCAGGTAGTTTTTTTTTTTTGCTTTTAGCCCTGCTGTGGCCAAGCAGCAGGGATCACCTGTCAGGTGGAAGCATTCGAGCAGTAGCGCTGCCTCCCGATTGCTTCCACACAGCCCATAGTGCCAGCCTTTCCCCCCACTGCCCACTATATGTCCCAGGCTCCGCTTGCCCATCTGCGGACCTGGGACTGGTTCAGTGGCTGCCGCCGGGATGTGGTATAGGGGAGAGAGGAGAGCGGACACATCCGCTCCCCTCTCCTTCTTGTCCTGACCCGGAAGTGATGTGACATCGCTTCTGGGTTCCTGTTTGACAGATTCCTGGTCATTGACGCCGGGAAAGAATGTATTGTGGTGCGATGTGCACTGCATTACATTCAGGGCAGCACAAGGGAGATCCCTGGATGTCTCAAAAAAGGGAACTTGTCACCAAAAAAAACTCATCACATAGGGTCCTTTTTGTCCCCTATGTGATTAGAAAAAAGAGAAAAAAGTTGAGTAAAAATTTTTTTCTTATTAAAAATGGAAGTTACAACCAAGCATATAATCCCCCCCCCCCCAAAAAAAAAGTTTTCAAGGCTCCCCACCCCCACATATGTACGCATGCACAAACGTAAAAGCACGCGCTGGGGCACCTACACATGAAAACGTTGATTGCGATACACATATTACATATCACCGCACACACCAGAATGAGAGCAATAATTCTAGCACCAGACCTTCTCCGTGATGCTAAACTGATGACCTGTAAGGGGCTTTAAAAGTGCCACCTATAGAAAATATTGGATACTAAAGTTTGTTGCTGTTTCATAAGTGCACGCAAATTTAAGGTTTGACATGTTGGACGTCTATTTACCCGATGCAACCTCGTCTTTTTTATATTTTTTAAAAAATTGGATAATTTATTTCTTTTTGTGCCCCAAAATTAACTTAAGCGTATTTTTTACTTAAATTTTGCGTTTCCTAGACCTTTGTGATAATATCGTGTGACATAAAAAATTTAAACTACTGCTATGTTATTCTCTAGGATAATTGATTTCAGAAAATATATAATGTTTGGGGATTTTGTGTCATCTTCAGGCCTTAAATTATTTTTTAAAAGTGTGCAAAAAACGCAAAAACAGCTCTGGCAATGAAATGGATAAAGGATAAGCCCAACACTCCCCTTCACTGACGAGCAGCCAATCTGTGTTCATTACGCTGCAAGGTCTCTCTCCTCCCTGCTAGTCCCCGGGTGCGGTGCTGGAGACAGGCAGGGAGGGGAGGAGGAAATAAACAGCACAATGTTAAAAATATTGAACGTTTAAGTCGCCATAAAGCCCCTTTTTGTTTTTAAAAGCCCCAGACATTGCTTAAAGCAGATTTATATATGGTTTTGGTTAAAATGTATGCTTTTTTTTATCGGATAAGTAGATTGTCATGAGGGACAAGTAAATTGGGACTCCAATTTAGTCCCTGGAAAAGTAGGTTTTTTTTTAACATTTCCACACCCCTGACTAGGGATTACACAAAATATTATAACTGATCAATACATCAATAGAACATCTTAAAATGAGTGATTGTTTACATGTTTTTTCAGGCAGAAGAAATGCATGAGCAAACTGTTAGAATACAATGCAGATGTCAACATTTGCAATAATGAAGGACTCACTGCTGTAAGTATTTTTTTTGCGGCTTAATATAATGATGCAGTTAGCTACTTTGCCTAAAATCCCATGAAAGTTATTTCTAGTGTTTAAAAATCATGGTGAAGTTTAGAAGAAAAGTATACTTTTTGAAGCCAGTCTTTTTTTTTTAGTTTCCACTAAAGCAGCAGAGAGAAGTAAGAACTTCTGTTAGTTTTCTTGTCAGGTGTTAGAAGGACAGAAATAAGGGAAAATCTCCGCAGTGGAGGTACAGATAGTGTTGGCTTTAAAATACAGTTGTGTCCAAAAATTATTACAACCCCCAATGCTGTAAAGGGGTTTAGGGACTATAGTGTACATTTTTGGAATTGTATTCAGAATCAAAATACCCAAATGCAACTAAAATGACATCAATTGTTTATGTAATACAGTAGTAAATGTTTCTTATGTGGTTTCTTCATTGCCACAATTATTCAACCCCTTAAAGACTACCACTCTGAAGAACAGAGGTTCATACAGGTGCTTTCCATCAGGTATTGAAAACACCTGTGGATGTCACCGAGCAGCAATCAAGCATAATAAGCACCAATTAGGCAGCTTTAAAATGACTGTGATACTCAGCTCCTTCTAGACATTTACTGGTGTTACAAACATGGTGAAGGCAAGAGAATGGTCCAGGAAGACAAGAGAGAAGAGGTGATTTCTCTTCACAGGAAGGGCAATGGCTATATAGAAGATTGCAAAGATGTTAAACATACCAAGAGACACCTTAGGAAGCATCATTCGCAAATTCAAGGCAAAGGGCACTGTTGAAACGCTACCTGGTCACGTGGCAGAAAGAAGATGCTGACTTCGACTGCTGTGCGCTACCTGAAGCGTAGAGTGGAGAGAAGTCCCCGTGTGACTGCTGAGGAACTGAGAAAAGATTTGTCAGATGTGGGTACAGAAGTTTCAGCCCAGACAATAAGACGCACACTGCGTAATTTGCCAGAACTCCCAGGCGTACCCCTTGCTGTCTCCAAAGAATAAGAAGAGTCGACTGCAGTATGCCAAAAGCCATGTGGACAAACACAAAAAAAGTTGTGGGATAGTGTTCTGTGGACTGATGAAACAAAATTAGAACTGTTTGGGCCCATGGATCAACGCTATGTTTGGAGGAGGAAAAACAAGGCCTATGATGAAAAAGAACACCTTGCCTACTGTGAAGCATGGTGGAGGGTCAATCATGCTTTGGGGCTGTTTTGCTTCTGCAGGTACAGGGAAGCTTCAGCGTGTGCAAGGTACCATGAATTCTCTTCAGTACCAGGAGATATTGGATGGAAACGTGATGCAGTCCGTCACACACCTGAGGCTTGGGAGACGTTGGACCTTTCAACAGGACAATGATCCCAAGCATACCTCCAAGTCCACTAGAGCATGGTTGCAGAGGAAAGGCTGGAACATTTTGGAGTGTGGCCATCGCAGTCACCAGACTTAAATCCGATTGAGAACCTCTGGTGGGACTTAAAGAAAGCAGTTGCAGTGCGCAAGCCTAAGAATGTGACTGAACTGGAGGCCTTTTTTGCCCATGAAGAATGGGCGAAGATACCCGTAGATCGCTGCAAGACACTTGTGTCAAGCTATGCTTCACGTTTAAAAGCTGTTATAACTGTAAAAGGATGCTGTACTAAGTACTAAGTTGAATGTCACTTGGGGGTTGAATAAAATGTGAGCACAGAAAAGACATTTGTGGTTTTTCATTATAACTGTTTATGTTATATTTGTCTGACCTACAAGTGCCTCTTTAATGCAAGATGACTGAATGATCAAAAGCAATGTCAAACTGGCCAAAACAACACTCAATTTCAGTGGGGGTTGAATAATTTTGGACACAACTGTAAGACTTTTATTGGAGAAATATTGTGCTTGCTGTCAGTGAAAATGCTAGTTACTTGGCTGTTATGCTGATACCTTAGCTTCAAAACTTTAAGACACTGTCCCAAAGCAAGTGGCAGCTCAGGTAGAGCACCTCCTGATCTACACACTGTTTCAAGTTATAGGTTGAACCTGCTGAAGCACAAGAGCCAGCATGACAACTAGACAACTGTTATTTAAGGGGAGGCCAACAATGGCAGCCTCAGTGTTTCCCTACCAAAAGAGTTTCTTTTTTTTTATTGAGTTTTGAAGGACATACAACAGACAGAATGTTGCATAGAGTTGTGAGATAACAATCATAAATCAACAAAAGAAGAAAGGAAACAGGCTCATTGATGGAAATGCATATACATAATACAATGTCAGTGTATAACAGTGTATTAACCAGCAATATCAGACATCTGAGTAGACATATCGGAATTGAAATGATTCCATGGTTCCCAAACTTCATCAAAAAGGGGGACAAGATTAGCAAGCATAGCAGTGAGGTACTCCATTGTTCTAATCTCAGCGATAACCTTCACCAATTCTGAACATGCAGGAGATGTAGTAGATAGCCAATGGGAATGGTTCTCCTGGCCGCTGTTAAGACATGAGAGGATAGTTTCTTGGCAGATTTGGAGAGGCCTGTAAAAGGTAGGCTTAGTAAAAAGTGATTTGGGTCACATGGGATATGGACCTGTAGAAGTAGCCGCAAAATGCTAAGGACCTCTCTCCAGAAAGGTGCAATGTGTTGGCAAAGCCAGAAAATGTGAAAAAGAGTGCCAATTTCCTCGCCACGTCGCCAGCAGACAGGAGAAACACTCGGATTGCGAGCATGGAGAACCAGGAGTCTTGTACCAGGACATCAAAATTTTATAAGTGTTTTCTTTATATACCACACATATAGAAGATCTAGAGGCGACTTCCCAGATCCTGCTGCATTGATCTAAGAGGATATCTTGTTGAAGGATTCGGGGGGCCACTTTCGCATATAAAGGTGTGTATCAGTAGAAAGGGGACAAGTGTCTTGAAGTAACTTATAGATAGAGGAAATTAGGCCCCCTTGGTATGGACCCTGAATGCAGATGCATTCGAAAAGAGTAAGCTTCTCTAGAGTCAGGGAGGAAAAAGAGTTTCTTTTTAGGTGATCTCAAGGCAGAAATGAAAGAAAATGGACAAGTCAGCAGTTTGTTTTTGTTAACTGAAAACGTCTCTTGTATTTTGTTAAGATTCACTGGTTAGCCGTAAATGGGCGGACCGAGCTTCTTCACGACCTTGTGCAGCATGTCAGCAACGTAGATGTGGAAGATGCAATGGGCCAAACAGCACTACATGTGGCATGTCAGAATGGGCACAAGACTGTAAGTGTTTTTTTTTTCTAATATTTCAAAGTTCTCCTTTTTTTTAACCACTTGCCTACTGGGCACTTCATGCCCAGGCCAATTTTCTGCTTTCAGCACCGTCGCACTTTGAATGATAATTGCGTGATCATGCAACACTGTACTCATATGACATTTTTATAATTTTTTTTCACACAAATAGAGCTTTCTTTTGGTGGTATTTAATTGCCGCTGGGTGTTTTATTTTTTGCTCTATAAACAAAAAAGAGCAAATCATAAAAAAAAAAAAAAAAAAAAAAAAAATAGTTTTTCTTTGTTTCTGTTATAAAATTTTGCAAACAGGTAATTTTTCTCCTTCACTGATGTTCGTTGATGAGGCTGCACTGATAGGCAGCACTGCACTGATAGGCAGCACTGCACTGATAGGCTGCACTGCTGGGCACCGATAGGTGGCACTGATGAGGTGGCACGGATAGACAGCACTGATAGGCAGCACTGCTGGGCACTGATAGGCGGGGCTGATGAGCTGGCACTGATACTGCACTGATAAGCAACAATGATGGACACTGATGGGTGGCACTCCCGGGCAGCACTGATGGGGGGCACTGCTGGGCAGCACTGATGGGGGGCACTGCTGGGCACAGGTAGGTGCCACTTGCAGGCACTGATGGGCAGTAATGGACACGGGGGGGTGGCATTGCTGGGCACTTGTGGGCAGCACTGGTGGGTCGCACTGCTGGGCACTGATCATCAGAGCACTGATGATCGGTGTCGATCCGTTCTCTGACAATTGCCGGTTATCGGCAGTACTTTCCTCACGCTGTCACAGAAAGTGCAGCCGATAACCGGCAACTGCATTTACCTGTGATCTGCTGTGTCATTGGACATGGCTGATCACGTGGTAAAAGGCCACTATGATTGGCTTTTTACCACATCACGTGATAGCTGTGTCCTTAGGACACAGCGATCACAGAGATCTCCAGGTACGCGCCACCGGGGGGCGCGTTCTTGGAGGACGTCATATGATGCTTTCCCAGAACTGGACAACCACACTGTAGCTATAGCGCGGATGTCAAGTGGTTAATGCAACCTCGCTCCTTACACATTGAAATGTAGCAAAGTAGGGAGAGTATTGTTTGCTTTGAGTCTGAAATAGGTGAATCTTGCTGTCCTTGTATAGATGTCCCTGGGCTGAAGTTGATATGCCCCCCCCCCCCCCCCCGCCCCACCAGTTTGAATTGCTGCACTGAAGCACTGGGTCAAGGACAATGTATAAAGTAGCCCAGTCAGTGCAAGCCTCCTGGGGGTGGGGGGGTTTGCTTAGGAACATGTTACACCTGCAGTACAGTCACCCTAGGAAAGGAAGTGTGTTAAAGACAGGATTACCAAGTTAAAATTAAAGAAAAATGTTTGGAAGAAAATAATGCAGCCACAAGCAGAATATACCACATTCTCATGAGTAAAAATTCGAGTGGCTCTCTTGATATTACCACCCAACAGTAATATTATTTACCATATAGTGTCCTAAATTAAAGAAGAACTTCTGGCAAAATGTTTATTTTTCCACGCAGTGGGGCTGTGGCTGCTCATTTTGTCCAAGGGAGCAAGGAAAAGTTATACTTACCTGATCCTTCAATCCTCCAGAAAATCACGCTCTCCCATGCCCAGCGGTGGACTGTTCCTGCTGGCCTTATGTCCTGAGCCGATCTATGGGCGTGATGAGGTCAGGATCAATCCATTCAGAAGACCACTAGTGCTCTGGGGGGCAGGAGTGGCGGGGAACATTCTTGCCCTTGGAGGAATTGGCAAATTATGTAGGTAGATCTCTGCTCTGCAGTCCCCTAGACAAAAACGAGCAGTTAATCCATGCAGTATGGGCACAGCCCCATTGCATGAGAAAGTAAACATTTTGCCCTGTGTTCTTCCTGTATGCTGTGTGCATATAGACTGGAAACATAGCATACCTACAAAACTTTATAAGGCTCCATGCACACTGGCCATTTTAATAACGCTGGTAACATTAGCTGTGTAAGGTTACATTAAAAACATGAGTTTTTCAGTGCTTTTTTAGCGTTTTTGCATTAGCGTTTAGCTAAAAAAAAGTCCAAAAACTCTGCTGTGTTTTGCAGCATTAGAGCGTTTTTACAGCCAAAAAACTCCTCTAGAAACCCACTAGTTCTGGGTTTTTTTCCAGTCAAAAAATGCCCCTGCCAAAAAACGCGGTTACAGTCTGTGTGCAAGGACACATAGGATAACATGCTGGGGAGTTTACTGGCTGTAGAAAAAAAACGCGAAATGCCAAAAACAGCAGCTGTAAAAATGTCCAGTGTGCATGAGGACTTAAAAAAAATAACCCATTCACTGAAAGAAAAAAGTTTTGTTTATGAAATTCCAGTGACTTTAATCATTAGGTACATATGAAAAAGAATGAGTGAAAAACAGTGGCAGCTCTTTGTAGTTGCATAGATATTAAGTATGAAAACACAATAATGTTTCATGACTTCCCATATTATGCAGGCAACTATTGATTTCTGCAGATCTATTTTTGAAACTATCTCTCTTCTTACAGGGCCTAATATGTGATCAGTTTTCTTGGAGGCAGGATTGCTCCATTCTGGTACACATTATGCTATGTAACTGATATTTTGAAATATTAAACACAACTTGGGTGGGAGATGTTTTATCTGTGACAGTGTTGCTTTCAGCTTCTTGCTATATAGTCATTTTTTTTACACTGACACCCAACATATTTTCATTACTTCAAACACTTAACTAACCAAAGAACTGCTGTGATATAATTCATAATTGAAATCACATTAGTGCAAGTAAAAAGATATGTGAAATATATAAAATCTCAATAATATATAACATTTGATAAAGTGTTCATATATATTCATTATGCCAAATATATAACACAAAAAATGTGTGTACATATAACGTGTATCCAAAGAAAGCGGGGGTTGACCATGTCCTTCTCTAGAAATCCTTCATCCAGGAAGAGATCAATGCACAGAGTGAAAGTGAAGGGTTAGCATTTACCACTTAGTGCAATGTAGTAAATCGATATTAAAGAAGATTCCACCACCATGTGACACGGTTAAAAGCTCTCATATCAGATGGACCATTAAGTTGTAAATGGTCATAATACGCTCAACACATCATGCCCAAGATGACTCCACCACGGCATACAAATGTTCTCAGCAACCGATGTCACAAATGGATAAAAAATATTAAATATTCTTTCATGAAATATATTAAAAATGCTCCTTGTTACACTATAAATTTATACAGTTAGGACTGCAGAATACTGGGGTGCTGTAAAGAGGCAGCATGTATTTGCAAATATGTGCAAACTAAACCCGTTTTTTTAACGTGAACCATTAGACAGGACAGTTTGGTTGGTTGCAGGTTGGATGGATTATATCTGATGAAATGCTGTGTGTGTTTGTCTGATTCCTCAGTTCAGAAGTTTGCCTCTTTGAACCACATAACCAACAACAATGTGCAACAAAGACCCTTTTTAAACATATTTCACAATGGAAGAATGTTATATTTTGTATCCATTGGTGACATCGTTTGCTGAGAACATTTGTGTGCCGTGGTGGAGTCATCCTTGGCCATGATGTGTTGACCGTATTATGAACATTTATAACTTGATGGTCCATCTGATCCAGTAATAGGCTCTTTTAACCGTGTCACATGGTGGTGGAATCTTCTCTAATAATGTAATAGAGATGCTGGGTGCAGTTACTAAAAACAAGTCATATACATGCACACAATCAACATGTAGTCATGCAGGTACTTTTAATCAGCATTTAAACCATTACATGTTCTACGCATGTGAAAGACCAACTACCAAATGAATACCTGCCCTTGCACATCATAGCAGTCACCCAGCACTCCAAGAAATAACAGAATCCAACTGCAATATTCTTGCATTGCCAAAACCTCCACTTTTATTATCACACGACACACAGGAGGATATGTTTTATAGTCATTACAATCTGCATAATAACACACACACCAATAATAATGTGAGCATTGCAGCATGAAATAGATACATCATTTGAAAGTGTCACAGCATAGAATGAATACATTATCGAAGCTCTGTGGAAGCTGGGAGGAACAAATCCCACCGGGACCACACTGCCCAGGTGGTCACGTCGAAGCCTTAGGCACGACCAGTCGATGAGCCCATATAGCCTTGGCAAAAATCCCAGCATCAGAGCTTCCTCTGGCCACTAGGGGAGCTTGTGCTGGTCTCATCTAAACTTCCACCTTATAAACCCTTTTTCTGGAAGCTGCCCAATAGAGGGCGGCACAACACCCACTACGGGAGGGGCTAGCAGAAGGGTTCCACGAGGATAACAGAGTCACGTTCAACCACCATATTCGTTATCTGAAAAGTCACAATTTTGCTTCCTATCTACCCCAAAACCTCTTTTCATCTCCCCCAGACTTAAGGATTTCTAACTTAGATGTCCTTAAACAGGTTTTTATCTCCTATTGTGAGGTTACTAGATGTCATCAACACAGTTCATTCCATAAACACGTTTTTATCTTGCTCTCAGCAGAATATCTTGTGATTCTGTTCCTTTGACTAAAGAAATTACATCAAGTCACTTCTCATGCCCCTGGCATTTGGGCGACAATGCTTTATTGTAAAAATTACCCAAGAAACAAAGGGTCCGAGGCCAACACATTTCATAGACATTACAAATAAAAATGTGCTAAATACTAACAAACACACTGATCTCTTCCTGGGTGAAGGATTTCTAAAGAAGGGCATTGTCAACCTGTGTTTTCTTTGGATACACTATATTGCCAAAAGTATTGGGACACGCCTCCAAACCATTGGATTCAGGTGTTCCAATCACCTCCATGGCCACTGGTGTATGAAATCAAGCACCTAGGCAGTGGTAGGCTATGAAATGACAGAGCGGGGTCAGCGCATGCCAGCTGTCTACAGACAGAGTCAGTAGCTAAAGACCTCCAAACTTTGTGTGGCCTTCAGATTATCACAACAACAGCATTAGGAGAGCTTCATGGAATGGGTTTCCATAGCCAAGCAGCTGCATCCAAGTCTGACACCACTGCATCCAATGTTTTGCATTGCACTTGGTGATGCAAGTAAAGCACACTACCACTGGACTCTAGAGCAGTGGAGATGTGTTCTCTGGAGTGACGAATCAGGCTTCTCTGTCTGGCAATCCGTTGGATGTGTCTGGCTTTGGCAGTTGCCAGGAGAATGGTACTTGCCAAACTGCATTGTGCCAAGTGTAGAGTTTGGTGGAGGGGGGATTATGGTGTGGGGTTGTTTTTTTAGGGTTTGGGCTTGGCTCCTTAGTTCCAGTGAAGGCATCGGAATACCAAGACATTTTGGACAATTTCATGTTCCCAACTTTATGGGAACAGTTTGGGGATGGCCCCTTCCTGTTCCAACATGACTGCACCCCAGTGCACAAAGTAAGGTCCATAAAGACATGGATGAGCGAAATAGGGGTGGAGGAACCTGACTGGCCTGCACAGAGTCCTGACCTCAACCCGATAGAACAACTTTGGGATGAGTTAGAGCAGAGACTGAGCCAGGCCTTCTGGTCTGACATCAGTGCCTGACCTCACAAATGTGCTTCTGGAAGAATGGTCAAACATTCCCATAGACACCTTCCTAAACCTTGTGGACAATCTTCCCAGAAGAGTCGAAGTTGTTCTAGCTGCAAAGAGTGGGCCACCTCAATATTGAACCCTATGGACTAAGACTGGGATGTCATTAAAGTTCATGTGCGTGTAAAGGCTGGCGTCCCAATACTTTTGGCATTATAGTGTATGTACACAACTTTTTTTGTGTTATATAATATTTGGCTTAATTATATGAACACTTTATCTAATGTTATATATTATTGAGATTTTATTTATTTATTTCACATATCTTTTCACTTGCACTAATGCGATTTAAATTTTGAATACATATCGCATATTGGTTAGCGCTGCTTTTTGTTTATATTACTTGATTGACTGGTATCACAGTTCACAGCGGCTGCTTGTTTATATTAATTAGTGACCTAATGCAAATTTAATATGGCTTTGCTGCTGTGATGTAACATCTTTTATTTTATTATATTTTTTAGACTGTTCTATGTTTACTAGATAGTGGTGCAGATATTAACAGGCCTAATGTTTCAGGATCAACTCCACTGTACTTTGCCTGCAGGTAAGAAAGCGTCATGTCATTAACATTACAATAATTTAAGATTGGATAATACAGGTCTTTATATTATGTAACATGGAAAGGCAGGTGGTGGTACTGGCAGCAATAGCATTGCAGTAGAATAGGACGTTGCATCAGGGTTATTAACATCTGATTGTTTTTTTTTTTTGGGGGTAGCACATACACTTTACATTTCTTTCAGTTTCTATAACTCAGTGTTATTCATTTGTGTAAAAACCATTTCAGATGTGATCAAACCTGCAATCCTGTTTCGTAGTAGTAGTAGTAGGATGCAGCTGTTCAGAGCTATGTCTGTTAGCCTATGGCTTCCCAGATGTGCATTGATGGCACAACCAAATGCATTAGTTTAGCAATTAAAAATGGGAGGATCCTTCCAATGCACTTGTCTGGGGATAACAGTAGTAATTAGGCAAGGTTTGTTCAATTGTCACCCCTGATGGTTGTCTGCCGATACCGTAGACTATTGAAAATGGACAAATAGGCCAATTGTTATCTCATATCTACTGACAACCTAAGTTCTTGTTGGAGTAAATATTTCTGGTTGCACTTTTGTCTGAATATTATCAAAATGTTGGTAACTTAAAGGCAGGACTGAAAATTGGTGATAAGCACTTGAGTACAGGTTTGACCTCTCACCCTAAATGTGCATGGAGTTTATGTTTTTTTTTTTCCTGTATTTACGTAGGTTTACAAAGGTTGCACTGATCACATGAGTGCAGGTGTTGGATTTTAAGAACATTATTGTTTTATGACGTTGCTAGGCAGATCACAGATCACTGGTGGCGAACAAAAGACTGTTTATGCAACATATGGACAATATTAGATTTATGCCGTATTGGACATTATATTTTTGTAATAATTTGTAACAACAGCTGATCTTTAGTGTTTTTATATTATTTGAATGGAAATATCCTCAGCACTAAAAGTCTGTTTAGCACACTTTCTCTTAAAAGGTGGGAGCAGCTATACAATATTGGAGGATGCTCATTTGATGGTTAGGAGAAATATGCAGGCTGGCATTGCTGACATTCCCCAGGAAACAGTAAATGTTCGGCTGTTAAGCTGACATCCTGCTTTCTTCACTGACCTAGAACAACTATGCAGATAAGGAAATCTGACATCCCTCGCTGCATAGTTGTTCTTGGTCAGAAAAGTATTGAAACCATAGGATCTGAATGACAGCTAGGAAACTAGTATTTTCAGAAGACCATCAGCAACTCTCCTTATGGGAGTAACTCCTCTGCATGGAAAGACGGTAGCTCTTAGCTCTAATTTACACTATATGCAGTGACACACGTTTTACTGCATTGCAAAACATGTCACCTCAGGGCACACAGGAAACATTTGTTTCTTATGTGTCCCATTCACACTGCAATGCAGAATATTGCCTGCGCTGCCATGCAGACATCTGCATCTTACCACTGTGCGACATGCCGAATCGCATAGCATTGTACTGCTGTACATTGTCATGAATGAAGTATATGTTTTGTACACTTCAAATAAAGTTTGTACAAAATAAAAGGGGGGAGCCATGTGATGCACTCAGTCACGCACGACACTGTCCCCCTACCGCAGCCAGTAATGGAGTGCTGCCAGAACAGTGAATCGCTTTGGCAGCTCTATGCTCATGTGTGAATACAGCCTTATGGTGGGGTAGAAGTAAACAAAGTACAGTGATGCTGCTTTATCATGCTGGCCTTTTTTTCATACGATAAGACACCTTTTTATTTCATTTGTTACATTATAGCCCAGTTACAGAACTACTCTGCAGTATTATAATCTACTGTACACACTATCATCTTAATAATTATAAAAGTTATAAAGCCATTCTTCCTATTATAATAATAAAATATACAATGATGGCACCTTAGACTTTGCCTGTCTCAGCACTGTTTGTGAGACCTTTGGTGTTTTGTTATATTTTCAAAGATGATATTCATATATTGTCTTTCTTTCTATTATAATTTGTACCTCTGAAGGGAAATGACAGTAAATGTGTTTTTGTAGGAGATAAGATTACTTGAAATTAATTTCTTCAGCAGCAATAGCTTGTAGCCAAAAGAAAATGCAATGAGAGATTGAATGAGATTTGATGTGTTTTTGTTTGTATTACAATTAATATGCTATCAGGCCTACAGCTTGTAGCACAAATAATTTTCTTTTGTTTTCCTCAGCCACGGACAAAGAGATACAGCACAGATACTTCTGCTACGTGGTGCTAAGTACCTGCCAGATAGAAACGGTGTTACACCATTGGATCTCTGTGTTCAGGTATGTCTCATGACTTCTATTGTTTTAGAAGATATGTGCAGGAGCTATTACACCATGCACTTTTATATGAAATACTCCAGCTGTCAGTTTTTACCAGCTCTGATTTGGCTGATACATACGTAAAGAGGAACGCCACCGTACCTGTAAAAACTAAACTCTTATCTCGTATGTATGTATATAGTACACACACACACACACACACACACACACACACACACACACACTCTCTCTCTCTCTCTCTCTCTCTCTCTCTCTCTCATCTCTCTCTCTCTATCTCTCTCTCTCTCTTCTCTCTCTCTTCTCTCTCTCTTCTCTCTCTCTCTCTCTCTTCTTCTCTCTCTCTCTCTCTCTCTCTCTGTCTCTCATCTCTCTCTTCAGTGTAGTCTTTCATACAACTAACGTTCTCCTTACACCACCATCTTTGACAACCCTGTTCTGTTCCCACCTGGTTCCTATCCATGCGAAGACTTAACTGCAGGGTATTTGAGACCTGTGGCAGATTCCTCCATGCATGCACAAACACTCTATAGCTCTGCCGATTCCCAGGTAGCTGGCAGGCTTTCTGCATGTCTGCACTTGTGCAGGATTGATGAGTGATATTTCATCCCACTAAAACATTGCCTCTTGGGATTTGTGACATGGACATCCATGAAGGCAGCACTTAGCTGCTCGTATGTCATCCTTGCCTAGGCAAAGAATCAGAAAATTGGCAGGCTGCACAGAAATGTGTAAGAGGTAGTGAGAAGGAAGCAGAGAAGAGGAAGTCCATTCGATAAATGAAGGTCGGGTTTAAAGCTCAACTCTGACATACATTTTCTTGCGTTTAAACCTATTTGTTATTTATAAAGAAAAACAAAAAGAAATAGAGTAATTACAATCATTTTAAGAATTCTATAGATGAATAGGTTAAATCATAGTCCAATTTTTTTGGAGTAGGGATAAGTTCCCATTAGAATTATTTCAGAACCGCGTGTTCAGGTGTCACGCATTTTAACGGCACCTGAAAAAGTGGTGCGGTTCTCTTGCGATTGTCATGCAATAAAGCATGGCAAACTGCAATGCGTGAAATGTTTTACCCAAAAGTTCCTGAACTTCTTTTGGGTAACATGCATCTAGCAATGCGGATTGCCGTGATTGTAGCACGATGTTTCACGCAGCAGAACTGCACCACATTTTCAGGTGCCGTTAAAATGAATAGCATCTGAACATGTGGTTCCGTGATTTGATGTTTAACCTGAAGGTTTTGAAATCGTGGGCAGAATCACTGCGATTCTGCCTGCGATACAAAACGCCAATTTGTAAACGAACCCTTAAAGGAGCAATACAGCCAAAGTTCTTTTGGCTGTACTTCTCCTGTGGATCACAAGAGTGCAGTTCATTATGCACTCCTGTGACCGGTTTTCAGCTGACAGCGGGCTGACATTACTCAACCGGTCAAGGCTGGGGAAAGATCCCGACTTTAAAGTTGGGATCCGCCCCAGAGTCTGGAGTTGACACCTGGCTCAGCCTCTTAGCGAGCCGCTCCCTCCCACTGGGAGCTGTCACCACTCACTGCTCACAGAGGCAGTGCGAACTCAACGATCATGTGATCTCTGAGTTCTCACACTTAGAGTCTTTGAGGGACAGATGCAGTATCGGACCAATGCTGCATCCACCTACAGTGAAACAATATTTTATACTCTGCCTCTATACACTTATTGCAGTGCAATTGAATTGAATACACAGGATTTCATTCTCTTGTCTTCTGTGTGTTTGTTTTTTGTTTTTTTCTCCAAGGGTGGCTATGGTGAAACTTGTGATGTGCTTATACAGCATCACCCCAGACTATTCCAGACATTAATACAGATGACTCAGAATGAAGATATTCGGGAGAATATGGTAATACGTGTTAACATTCTCATTGCATGTTTCTTTTTCCTCTGTGTTTCTGTTCAAACCTTATTCCTAACTGGATGTATGAGTTAGAAGTGTTCATTGCTGTTGAAATTTGACCAGTATTTAGTAACCTCAAGCAGCCAGGGAGCAGTAATACTTTGCTGTCCTAAAGTTCTAAACCGCAGTCTTGTTGCTTTAGTTTACCACTTTTTGTGCTAATTTAAATTTTAGGTTGTGCCTTGTTAAATAAAGTTTATCTATCTTTTTTCATTAATATACAATGGTCCTAAATGATCGTTATGTTTTTGTTTCCCTCAAACTATTATCTATTGTAATTTTTAAAATGTCATTAACAAAGGTCACACACTTTTAGTGTGCTTGATATTAGATTTTGCCAGTGTGTTTCATTTAGAGAAACGATAACCAACTGCTTTTTTTTAAGTCTTTTATTAATATCCAAAGTGATATTAAAGTGAGTGTATTTTTAGTTTATTATATTTCCTAATTTGTATATTTGTATGTAGTTACGGCAAGTCCTGGAACATTTATCCCAGCAAAATGAAAGCCAGTACCATAAAGTACTAATAAGTCTTGCAGAGGTTGCTACTACAAATGGCCACAAACTCCTAAGGTAATGTTTTTATTGGACACTGAGTGTGCGCAAATGTTGATTTATACTGGCCACTGGAAAATTGCAGAAACAAATAATGATTCTACTGTACCTTGTCTGTTAGAGTGTGTGTGTTTTTTTTTTTTTTTTGGTTTGTTGCTGCTAATGCTTTAAAGTGAACATATGAAGGAAGTGTGAGGGGTGCCATTTCTGGTCTTCTTTTGCAATGATAGTCACCTGGCAGTGTCTGACATAAAGTGTATCTAAGTGTAAAATCATATATTTATTTCCATATTCTATGTTAATTATTTCTAACCTACTCCTAATAATCTGAACAATCTTGAACTTTGTAAATTTACTTTGTGCAGAATCCCACACATTTACTTCCTTGAATTCTGTGACATGTATTCAGTTTGCCCTGTGAGTAGACACTGCTGTGTCACACATTTCACAGAGCCTGCCTTCTGAGCTACAGTGGTGCTGAGAGGAGGAGTTTCAGGAGGTGGAGTCAGTGCAGGAATTACTAATTGACATAAGAGATCACCACCATGAGATGTGTAGTCCTGAGAATTTGAAAATAAACAGCAGAGGAGAGGCTGTAAAACATGCAATGAAGCCAGGAAATTGTGGAAAGAGATGCCCAGCAGACAGGCAGCACTCACAACACAAAATATATTTTAGTAGTACATATAGTAAGCTTATATTAGATTGTCAAAATTAACGATTTGTTTGTATTCTTCTTAGCCCCTATTCACACCTGAACATTTTCTGCTTGTCTCCCTTCGCTTGACTATGCAGAATTTCATTCTTTCTAATTTTCCTTGTTTACATAACCTTTTTTCCAAGCAGTGTCAGATGTTTTGGGTCACATAGACTTCAATAGGAATGCCTGTAAACACGCCCAAAGTTTTTGCTTTTTTTTTTTTTTTATACACCTGAAAAATTCTTCTCATATAGAACTGCTCTCCTCCCCTTGTCTTGTTGATTTGGCTTTTTGTTTCTCCACTTTTGTTTGTGTCACACAAATACAAACAAAATAAAACATGAGAATTCCTAAACTTTTATAATTGCAACAATTTTCTGGGCAAAGTGGGGTATTTTCTGACAGAAATGCAAGGGCGTCAATATTTTTTGCCATGACTGTATATGAATGGGTTTGCATGAAAGTTATAGCATCTACAAACTATGATCTCTATATACTGGATTTTGTACTTATTTATGTTTTTAATACTAGTAATGGCGATGATCAGTAACTTATAGTGGGACCGTGATAGTGTGATAGGCAATCTGACACTGATGCTAGGTGGGAACTTATGACACTGACATCACCAGTGACACTAATACAGTGATCAGTGCTAATACTATCACTGTCCTAATGAAGGGGTTAACATCTAGGGGCAATAAAAGGGTTAACTGTGTGCAGGGGCTTATCTTCTGCGAGGCAAACAAGGCATTTGCCTGGGGGGCGCCACCCCCTCCCCAAAGAAGGGACACACAGGAGTGAGCCCAAGAAAACAGCGCTACGAAAGTATGATAAAATCAATATTCACCTCTCAACGAGGTATACTTTTATTGTTCGAATGTTAAACCTTTGGTATGATGACATGCCATACAGTCTGTCCAAGGACTGTGCATTGGACTGTCCACTGCTCTACGTCCCCAAGCCGGGAAGGGAGGCTGTTCCATGTTGTGTGTCCGAGCCGGCCAGGGATCGCTGCACTCCGGAAGTGACATCAACTGCGAACGGGATGAGGGCGGAAGCAGAGTTCTGGGCATGAGACGCAAGCTAGGCTGGTAACCATGACAATGCTTTTCGCGCGCATGCGCTTTGTCAAGTCTGGGACTTGACAAAGTCTCAGACTCAGCCGGCTTGGGGACACACCATGGATCAGCCTCCCTTCCCGGCTCGGGGACGCAGGGGAGTGAACGGTCCACCGTACTTTCTTGGGACAGACTGCATGGCATGTCATCATACCAAAGCTTTAACATTGGAACAATAAAGGTACACCTCCTTGGGAGGTGAATATTGATTTTATCATACTTTAACAGCACTGTTTTCTTGGGCTCATATACTTTACTTTGAACCTGAGCAGCAACACGAGCCTGGCAGCAGCATTCATGATGGATTGGAGAGGGGATAGCCTACATAAAGGTAAGCCAATGAGGAGGGAGTTGCAGTAGTCAAGGTGAGAGATAACCAGGGAGTTAATTAGGAGCTTTGTGGTATCATTGGTTAAAAAGGAGCTTATCCTGGAGATGTTGAGGCGGCATTATTTGGACAAGGATTGGATGTGGGCCTGAAAGGATAGTTCAGAATCCATGGTTAGCATGCAGAGATGGGTTGATAGTGGTGCTATTGATCCTGACTGAGAAATCAGGGGAAGAGGCATGTGGGGGATGAAATATTATGAGGTCAGTTTTGGATAGATTGAGTTTTAGGAAGTGTTGTGACAGCCAGTCTGATATTTCTGTTAGTAAATTGATGATATGTGAGGAAACTGATGGGGTGAGCTGAGGAGTGGAGAGATAGATTTGTGTGTCATCAGCATAGAAATGGTACTGGAAACCATGGGAAGCTATCAGCTGACCCAACGAAGAAGTGTAGATTGAGAATAGGAGAGGTCCAAGGACAGAACCTTGGGGGACCCCGACTGTAGGAGAGGAGGAAGTAGAGTTGTAAGTGACACTGAAGGTGCGGTGAGATAGGTAAGATTTGAACCAATGGAGAATACAGTCACGGAGGCAAAGTTTATATATTTGTCCAAAGCCGATGAAAAGTGGTGGTTATTTCTTAAAGATTAAAATTATTATTATTATTATACAGGATTTATATAGCGCCAACAGTTTGCTCAGTGCTTTACAATATAACGGGAGACAATACATCAACAATACAGTTCAATACAAGAGGGATAGGAGAGCCCTGCTCCTTGGAGCTTACAATCTAGGAGTGATCAAGATGCATCCTTGAATGGATGCCCGTCTTACGCATCATTCTCCAATATGTCACAATGGAAACGGTACCTCCAGTCCCCCATGGATTGGGAGGACTGGAGTGAGAGTTGATTCACACATGTGCGGTGTGGATTGAAGCTCAGATTTCATAGCTAATTGATACAGTAGTTGTTCACTTGTTCACGTCAGGCTTACATCAGGTTCAGGACAGGATCAGCTCAGGATCTTATCTTGTTGACACATGTGCGGTTTAAAAACGGTTCCCATAGAAATCATTAGCCTATAATCTGCACCTGTACCAGACTGCACTGCTCAGAAAACGGACATGACTCTTTTTAAAACCGCATTGAATCTGCACCGCCAGTGCTCCAGACATATGTGAACAGGCACCATAGGAAGCAATGCTTTTTCACATGTCATGCGGATTGGATGCGGTTCAAACCGCATCCAATCCGCATAAATGTGAACGAGCACTAAGGCTTGGACAGTAGTTGCCAAATGCTCCTTCAGTACAAATACACTTGAAGCAGCATACAAGGTCTTATTCAGATGATACTGGGTCCCTGCCCGAGTTACCCATTCTTATCCCAGGAGTAGTGACAGATGGATCCGTAACTGGACAGCGGCGCAAATGTCCAGCATATCTGGTGCCTCTACCTGAGACTAGTGGGATCCTGGTCTAGGGTTTTTGGCTTGCTCCAGACCCTATTTCATCTAACGATCCGTAGGGATGCAAAGTTGGCCATATTACACTGCCCTATACCTAGCTTATATGCATCCCAGCAGAAGCTGGCTACATATCTTTTTATCTCCGCTAAAAGGCCCATATCTCAAGCCTGGGAAGACCCAGCGTGTAGCTTTTCAGGGGGTGAAGATACGTATGACTGCAATTATGCTGCATGAGCAAATGTCCAGTATTCTGAATGACTCACATACCAAATTTCTCAGAGTCTGGAAACCATGGATCTCCTATGAGTTCCCTTCACTCCAACTGACGTGCCTGGGCTTTGTGTAACTGCTCCTGTCTGGGCTTCTGAGTCCGAGATATCCCTGTTTCTCTTGGCTGTGATACTTTTTTTTTTCTCCCTACTTTTTCTTTTTAGTACTTCTCTGTTCTTGCTCACATGGTTGCCGCCCTACGGGGTTGGTTGCAGGAGAAGAGCCTCCCCTATGGTGACTGTGAGTACTTCTCAGGAACATGGCTTTTTTGCATTTTCAACTTATTGCTATCATCCCAATGATTCTGTGTTGTATTGGTTAACATGACTGTAACCCTTCTTGATCATTCTGTAATGATTATTTATCATTCAGCCCTGTGCGATTCATATGCTTATTTTTGATTTCTTATGTTCATTCTCAAAGCCAAGAAATAAAAGTGGTGCACTGAAATTAAAATTCTTGGACTGAAAACGAAAATTCAGGATGCATTTGGCCAAAAAATGCAACTGAAATGGATATTTTTATTTAAATATACTTTTTTTATATATAATTGTATTATATATGACTTTTTAATTAATATCCTTAATTTTAAATGAATATGAATTTACTTTCAACACCTTTTGGCCAATAGGCTGCTTTCACCCTGAGCGTTTTTGCTGCGCTTTTGTGTGGGAAAAAAAAAAGTAACAAGGAAAGCTCAAGAAAAATGCATCCCGAGAATTCAATGTATGTCTATACACTGGTTCATTGCGCTTCCCTTGCAGTGCTAAAAATCTTGCTTGCTGCATTTTTGGTGAATTAAAAAAAAAAAATGCACCTCCCCATTGAAGGATTGGTTCACACCAATGCGTTTTTTAGGGCTTTTTGAAGAAACGCACTACAGTCCAGTTACAGTAGCAAGGTTTCCAATGGGAAACGTTCATATCTATGATTTTTTGAGCTGCTGTGTTTTTGGAAAGGGCCAGTGAATTTTTTAAAATAGAAAATGTTACGTTTTTGATTCTATAGACTTCAATTGAGACACTGCAGAAAACGCAAGTAGTGCGTTTTTGACGCATTTTCACGTTTGCCGTAAAGTGTCAAATGCACATGCAATAACACAAAACAAACTACAAAACGAACAACACAAACTGCATTGGTGTGAACCAGGCCTGAAATGCATTGAAAACCCATAAAAAATGCACACATGTTGCATTTTGATGTGTTTTTTTGAGTCACATGACCTATGAAAAAAAACACTCTAAATATGGTGTGCAAGGACCAGAGTTTGGGCATCTTTGTAGTAGGTAAATTTATTCATGGGTGTATACCACAAGGAATTACTTTACAATCCCATTAGTTGAAAAGTTTCATAATGTGTGTGAAACAAAACTACCAGCTTGAAAAATTAGCAGGACATTGCTATTCAGAAATCTCCCATTAGTAACGGGTGGTCTGAAACTGCACGTATCCTTTAAAATGTAAGTTCTCCTTTACAGAAAATCTGTATGGTGACCTTAAACTGGACCCCCTCCCCATCCCCCAGGTCCTGCTGTACTGGAGTCCCACGATCCTCCACTGTCAGACACTGACATACCGCTTCACTGGTCTGGGGATTTGGAATCCCTTCGGCTTAATCTCCTCTCCATACTGCTTTGCCAGGGATTCTAACTGGTCAGCACAGTCACCTGGATATTGCTGATTAATCAGAATCCATCTAGCCCGTCCTGATAGCACTTCAATGAGAGGCGAGAAGACTGCAGGGATTTCAAAACCCTGGACCGGTGAAGTAGTATGCTGGTGTCTAACACTTTAAGCATGTAAAATGACTGCTTACAAATTTAGTAGACACGGAGGGCTTAATAACCACTGTCTTTTATTTCCACCAGGGCTTCAGTGATATGCTTGGGGCTTCAGATGGATTTTCTAGAATATCATCCCCTTACCCTGTCCACTGTCAGTTTATTATTCTTTTTGCTGCTTGTGAGATAATGATGACCTAGGTGCTGACATCCTAAAGATTTACTGCTGCTCAGGAGCTCTGGTCTTCAGCAAAATGGCAACCTTCTGCAAAAAAGAAACAGAAACAATGTTGCAGGCAATTTATAGCACACATCAATTTTGGTAGCAGAATTATTAAAGTGGATTGTATGTTCCTTGCTAAAGGTATAGTGGTTGATTCATTATATACTCTTTGACAGTTGAAGACTGGAAGATACAAAAATATTTTGATTGCAACTATGCTGTGATTAACAGATTTTAAAAGATTATAATCCTGTTTGACCCCAAATCAGCCGTCGGAGCTGACTGGGAACTGAATGATTAGCAGTCATGTGATCACTCGTTCTTAGGTCTTTATCAGAATCCCATATATTTCCTTTTAACATTTTTCACTGAGGAAAGGTAGTTGTCTAGGTCAAAGATAAGGTTTTCAAAAATAAAAAAACAGATGATGAAATAACATAGCAGTGGAAATAGCCATGCCATTGCACAGTGTTTTTGGGAAAAAAAACTTTATTTAAAAGCTGTAGCATTTACCTGATGATATTACTTTACCCCATGTCCTATACAATAGTACAACTTTACTTTTAGTGGCTGTTCTTTTCTGTAAGGTTGATATGTGGATGTCATTTTTTTGTGTTGACCAAACAAAATCTGTTCAACCTGATACTTTATGGCATTGCTAAATACTGGCTTGAAAGATTATGTAATGCAAATATTTTTTCTAAGTTCCTGGATACTGTTGCTTACATCTCTAATATTCTATGCCAACAAAACCAAGCAGTCTGAACCCCAAATAAATTATTTAACCTGAAATAAAATTCCTTTATTTTGGGTGGTCTCTTATGAGCTGGTAATGGAAAGCAGCTTCTCTCTTTGTTATCCCTGCTTTTCAGCTTAGATGAATGGAAGATAGAAATAGAAATTCCAGCCCACTCCATTGCTTGTGATGTTGATCCCAGTCATTCAGTACAATTGGTCGCATACAATACAGGTAGTGATTGAGTGGTTGATGTATTGTATGACTATATGTTTCCATGTGAGCCCAACTCATCTTTGTTCTTCAGGAGGTTTTCTGCTGTTTTATGATACAGTGAACATGTTTCGATTATATTTAGTCTTATAGAAATTGTAATCTCATCGTCTTTCTCTAGTCTTTCTAGCAGTTATGAAGCTCAGATGAAGAGTCTGCTGCGCATTGTCCGGATTTTTTGCCATGTTTTTCGCCTCGGACCCTCTTCTCCCAGTAATGGAAATGACATGGGCTACAATGGGAACAAAACTCCAAGAAACCAGGTGTTCAAGGTCAGAAAAGTATATGACGCTTTTAGGAAGATAGACGTAAAAGAGATGAATATGACAAAGCATGCAATCATTTATCAGACCTCTTCTCCACAGGACGTAAGTTTGGATACATCCTGCATGTCACTTTTATTTCAGTTCATTGACTTCCCTCTTTTCTCTCTTGGTCAATCAGAATAGCATTTAATTCACTTTCCTTAATTTTATTCCTTTATTATCATAACACCTTTCCCCAGCTGATTTAAATTTGCAGCCCACTTGGTTTAATTTTTTTTGTAGGCATTTATACAACACAACAATATAATGTGCTATTTAAACATGGATAGTATACATAAACCACTTTGTATATCTTTTGCTATCCAATCAGAGTCTCCCATCCTTTTTTCTCTTTATTGTCTTGTGCCATCATGCTATGATTTTGAACGGATTTTATTTGGAAATGCCTTAAAGTCATTGTACACTTCCAAATGTTTTTTTTGTTTTAACTAGGTATTAGGGTAGTTGTTCTCCCTGCACTGTTTGTTTGCCTTACCTTGTAATGATGGGCTTACATGTTATGGCTGACGTTTTGTTGTGTCATGGCTGATCGATTCCACTATGTCCATTATTTGTTACAGCTAGCCTGTCCCTAATCACCAAAGGGACAAGACAATTTCCTGTTATGGGTCACATTGTCCAATGCAAGGCTGTTCAGCTGCACTGTGCCACTTCACTAATGTGGGAATGCTAGTGTAGTGAGAAAAAAAACCTTCTAGCTGCATGGTAAATTCTCTGAGTGCAATGACAGAAATTCGGTTCACCCAAAAATATACAAAACAATACTGCAATACCCTAGACGCAAAAAGTCACACTTTCTCCCCTGAAAGTCCACAGTCAAAGTAAAAACTTTTCAGCATCTGTGAAATCCTCAAATCAATACAAATTCTGACCATTCGGGCACTGCTCGAGGGCCCGGGGTCAGAAGAGGCTCAGTCCATTACCTGGATTTGCCCACAGTTTATATGCAGAAAGAAGATTTGGACAAGCCCCGAGGGGGCAGTGAACCATGGCATCCATGACTGCAATTCATGTAGAAATCGGAGAGGACTAATGCTGGCCGGGATCAGAGAGCGATGGTAGATGAGGCAGCGGCAGGCGCTTCGGTCACCTCTCCTCCTGGGGGAGATTCAGCGGAGGTCCACATCCCTGCTGCGGGTGCTGAACTTGGAAAGCTGGAAGTGGTAGGCAGACGTCTCTGAGCTGGAAACCTTTGTGCAGCAGGTCAGTGTGTAATCCCCAACCCAAGTCAGCCGAGATTCCCCCCTTCCCCGGCCAGGTAACACAGGCACAGCTGTGGGCTGCATGTGCTGGAGTCTGCTACTTCTCCCTTTGTCAGGAGTGTCAGGACCTGAGCGGCTTTCTGTGTTCCCCAGCCTGTCAGACTTGAGTAGCACACAGCCGAGGGAGTGTTTTAGCTGTGTGCTTCAAGACTGATAGGTGGAGCCTGTACTGTGCTGGGATTGGTGCCTGCTGCACTGCTGTGAAGCTTCTGTAAACAGATGAGAGAAAGAGTGGGGGGGGGGGGGTTGTTTGTGCGGAGAATGAGTTGTAGTGAGGTTGGGGGTCTAGTGCAGAAGTGCTAGCGGGGGGGGGGGGGGGGGGGGGGGGGTTGTGGTGGTGGTTGTGAAGAGGAGGGGGGGAGGGCGCTGAAGGGAAGGAGGGTGAATTTGTGAAGAGGTGAGAGCACTGAAGGGGGGAGGGTTGGTAATTTGTGAAACGGAGGGGGAGCACTGAAGGGGAGGGGGGGCACTGAGGGTGTTGAAGAAGGGGGGATTTGCAAAGAGGTGAGCGCACTAAATGGGAGGGGGATTTGCAAAGAGGTGAGCGCACTGAATGGGGGGGGGGTGATTTGCAAAGAGGTGAGCGCACTGAATGGGAGGGGGATTTGCGAAGATGTGAGAGCACTGAAGGGGGGGGGTTGGATTTGCGAAGAGGTGAGAGCACTGAAAAAGGGGGGGGGGGATTTGTGAAGAGGTGAGTACTGAATGGGGAGTGGGGGAATTTGTGAAGAGGTGAGAGCACTGATTTTATTCTGTGCCTTGTGTGATATACACACCTCAGCACTGCACAGTACGTACTCCTGAATCCAATGTGTTATGCAATACTGAGTGTGGCACTCTGTACCTTTTGTGAAATGCGTAGATTTTTTTTTGGTGCAGATCTCTCCGCAAGGAACGCCAAGGTTGGGGGTAAGGAGTTGGCCTGCACCTGTTCTGAGAAAAAATGCCCTGGCTACAAGTAATAAATCCAGCTCACCACCCTCTCTGTCTTTCCCCCTCACCTCCTGACTACAGAAAGGAACAATTAGAGAAACCAGTGATAATAATGCACAGTAGCCTATAACAACCAATTTGTAAGCGGTAATGATGCACAGTAACTTATAGCAACCAATCAGCGAGCACAATGATATGCAGTAACCCCTAGCAACCAATCAGTGAGCCTCAACCAATCAGAGAGTGTGGACCAGTTTTTTATTTATTATTACGTTATTAAAGTTTTTTTTAGAGAAGTCTATGAGCTTGTTTGTTTTTTGGGATGGAGTGGAGAACAAAATTGAATGGCTGAGTGCCCTTTCCATATATATATATATATATATATAAAATCACTGACATCTGTCCACTGAGTGCCACTCAGTGTTCAGAAGATAGCAGTGTTTTCTATAGGGAATAACACCAGGGCATTTTTTGCTATTCTGCACTTTGTGTGGTTGTGGCTTGAGTGTGGGTGAGGACACAGGGGGGCCCCATGATCTCCTGTTGCCTGGGGGCCCCATGAGTTGTCAGTCCGCCCTGGCTCCTAATCAATCCACCTTCATGAAAGCATTCCTTCGTAATCCACTTGTACCTCAAAAAGAAAAAACTCTACATAGTGCATTATCCCTATGTCATAAAACAAAATAAAATAAAACCCCAGTGCTAATTGTGTGCAAAAACCACCCAATGTCAACTTCTAAGCAGCTGTATAAAATACTCTTACCCTATCTAAACGTATAAATCAAACTTTCACTTTTTAATACTTGGTAGCAAATCCTTTGCAGCCAATTACAGCCTGAAGTCTGGAACGCATAGACATCACCAGACGCTGGGTTTCATCCCTGGTGATGCTCTGCCAGGCCTCTACTGCAACTGTCTTCAGTTCCTGCTTGTTCTTGGGGCATTTTCCCTTCAGTTTTGTCTTCAGCAAGTGAAATGCATGCTCAATCAGATTCAGGTCAGGTGATTGACTTGGCCATTGCATAACATTCCACTTCTTTCCCTTAAAAAACTCTTTGGTTGCTTTTGCAGTATGCTTTGGGTCATTGTCCATCTGCACTTTGAAGCGGCGTCCAATGAGTTCTGAAGCATTTGGCTGAATATGAGCAGATAATATTGCCCAAAACACTTCAGAATTCATCCTGCTGCTTTTGTCAGCAGTCACATCATCAATAAATACAAGAGAACCAGTTCCATTGGCAGCCATACATGCCCACACCATGACACTACCACCACCATGCTTCACTGATGAGGTGGTATGCTTAGGATCATGAGCAGTTCCTTTCCTTCTCCATACTCTTCTCTTCCCATCACTCTGGCACAAGTTGATCTTGGTCTCATCTGTCCATAGGATGTTGTTCCAGAACTGTGAAGGCTTTTTTAAATGTCATTTGGCAAACTCTAATCTGGCCTTCCTGTTTTTGATGCTCACCAATGGTTTACATCTTGTGGTGAACCCTCTGTATTCACTCTGGAGAAGTCTTCTCTTGATTGTTGACTTTGACACACATACACCTACCTCCTGGAGAGTGTTCTTGATCTGGTCAACTGTTGTGAAGGGTGTTTTCTTCACCAGGGAAAGAATTCTTCGGTCATCCACCACAGTTGTTTTCCGTGGTCTTCCGGGTCTTTTGGTGTTGCTGAGCTCACCGCTGCGTTCCTTCTTTTTAAGAATGTTCCAAACAGTTGTTTTGGCCACGCCTGTTTGTGCTATCTCTCTGATGGGTTTGTTTTGTTTTTTCAGCCTAATGATGGCTTGCTTCGCTGATAGTGACAGCTCTTTGGATCTCATCTTGAGAGTTGACAGCAACAGATTCCATATGCAAATAGCACACTTGAAATGAACTCTGGACTTTTTATCCGCTCATTGTAATTTGGATAATGAGGGAATAACACACCTGGCCATGGAACAGCTGAGAAGCCAATTGTCCCATTACTTTTGGTCCCTTAACAAGTGGGAGGCACATATGCAAACTGTTTGTAATTACTACACTGTTCACCTGATTTAGATGTAAATACCCTCAAATTAAAGCTGACAGTCTGCAGTTAAAGCACATCTTGTTTGTTTCATTTCAAATCCATTGTGGTGGTGTATAGAGCCAAAAATGTTAGAATTGTGTCAATGTCCCAATATTTATGGACCTGACTGTATATTAATAAGTGCTCCCCTCCTCCACAGCACTAGTGCAATATAAACAATCCACAAGCATAGATATCAATGGCTTTCCTCATTCGATACTACTTCAGCTCTCAATGTCCGCATGGTGCCATAACATGGGTCAAAAACAAAACCATATGGTGTAGTATGTCTTTTAAAATGGGTCTAATTTATTAAAATTATGCTTACAAACAGAAAGGAATAAAATCGCATATCACTTGGATACAGAACTCGTGTCCCCTATTACTAGCGTTCAACATACAGAACCTATCTCAAGATGGCCGCTCCGTAACTTCCGGTCTACGTCTGATGTCACGTCCTTGATGCGTTTCTTCACTTTCGACTTCTTCGAAAAGGGTCCAAATGCAGCAAATGTTTTGCCACCTTTTGGACTGCACATAAACCCTATGCAAATTCTGTAGATAATGCATTTTATCCAATCAGAGCTTAATCATAAAGAGGGGGTGGTCCTAGAGTAGAAACTGTCACTGCCATGCATTTGTATGTGCTACAATGAATGTTCAAGTTTGTGATTCGTCTGGTGTTCTTTTATTTTTTATTTTATTTTACCAGGTAAATGTTCAGGCCTCTGAAAACACTACATTTGTGTATAGAATCTTGCAGGTAGCTTTGTGAGGTTCTAATCTGTG